GGAGGCGGCATAAAAACACCGTGGCCGAAGGCCGAAGGGCATTGAATTTGGAGAATTCGGACCATTAATGTGCCCGTAAATTGTGGGTAATGTGGTAAACCCAATGCCATAAACCATCCCCATTCCATCAGCATTTTTATGGCTGCAATAAACATCCCCAAATGATAGGTGTATTGCTGGGTTTACCACAAATAGTGATCTGGAGAATTTGGAGAATTCTTGATATATTGCGGGCTTGTGCTAACTTGTGCTACCCGTCACTCTGTAGAAAAATATATGGCAAGTCTGCAAGTCCGAGCACGTGTTGTCAAAATTAATCTTGCTGCGCATCATACTCACCCCGTTTATAATGGTTCAAAAGTTGGCTATGGTGAAAAAACACAAGTTTCAAACCCAATTTGATATATAATCACATATGCATAAATACATCATCTACACAATTCACATGTGTATATATATATATATAAATATATATATATATATGTGTGTCTTTATATTTTTATACATTTAGATATTTTATGTATATACATGTATATTTATATGTTTATTCATTTATATATTTTTACAAATTACATGTTTATATATCAATATTATGTGTATATATATATACTTATTCATGTATATTTATTAATATTTATCTATTTATCTATATATTTTTTTTGTTTATATCTATTTATGTTTATTTATATGTATATAAATATAAATTATGTTATACATATATATTTATTTAACGGGGGAACGTGTTTGGTCGCCCCAATGCTTTTGCTGATTATAATGCGCTCGGTGTGTATACAGTTGAACACGAACGTTAGTAGGGGGCTTGTGAAACATGCGCAACTTCTGTGACACGTGCACAACTTCTGTGAAACGTGCACAACTGCTGGGAAACGTGCACAACATCTCTGACACGTGCACAACATCTCTGAAACGTGCACATGTAGAATACTTGAAAACACTGGGTGGGGGCGGTGAAACACGTTACACCCATATTTAAATGTGTATTATATATATATATTATGTTATATATATATTTATTTATTTATTTAAATATAGTTATAAATATATAATATGTATAAAATGTAACCAAAGTTTACCTAGCAAAGCGGAAACTTTCCCGCAACCCGGTGCCAGTTGTCCCGGAAACGCAGCAAGCGGTGGAAAGCTTTGGCTAGTTTGGCCGTGGTATGTGAATCTCGGCATTGAAATCTCCATGCATTTCCATTTCACGAAGTCGACGCCCGAGCTACTAGGTCTACAAGGTCCAAAACACACCTTGATGAAACAGCCTGGAAAGGTCTCCAAGTCGAATCTTTGAAACATCCGTGAACTTTGTACTTCAATATAAGTGTAACTTTGTAGTTTCACAATCATAATTCATACCGTTCATCATTGTTGTAAACTTTTAATTGTGTGTTCAGATCACCCACTGTACGCGGAAGGCTCAGCTCAGCATCGCTCAGCTGGTAGGCTGTGAGTAGGTCCAGATGTCTCCAGCTGCGGCTTCATCCCATTGAAATAGCCACAATCAACCCGAGAAAAAAGCATCCAACCCTTGGAAAAGTAGGGTAAAGATTGATATAGCAGTTTGTACAGTATAGACTCAGTATGGACTTCAAAAAGGTCATGAGATGTGAGGTCTTCAGACTTCTTTATTTTGATAATCTTGTAACAAGCTCAATGTGCCTCAAGGCTATGGGTAAAAGACTTCACACTTTCCCTCTGGATGATTTTGAGATGCTTAACTGGATATGCAATGGTTACATGGAACTATATAATTCTTTTTTGGCGCAATAATATATATATATATATTATATATATTACTGTATATTATTATTCTCAAAAATGAACATGAATGTAATTATGTCCAAATGAAACAGAAACCCAATGCAATGTATATATATATATCATATATGCATGGATATATAATTGCTGCCCATCTTTCAATATAGCTTCAAGTTTGGAGACTCTTGGGCCAACATCTTCAGCTTACCAGCCGCTGAAAGATGGAAATTCAGCTCGACGACACGTAACTTACTCCGCTTGGCGATCGTGGCTTCTCGCGCTGGTAGTTTGTGAGTGGCTGGGGGGGCACCTTGAAGAAACAACGCATATGAACTGCCTGCATATATATATATATATACACACAGTAATATTGTTATTAATAAATATATTATACACAATGTTCACATGTACATGAAACCTGGACCTACAATGATGTATATATCTGTGTTTGTGTATTTTGGGACCTCTGCGAGCTGTTCTATCTGTCCATGTGTGCTTGGACAAGGTACGGTAACCTACTGCCAATTGTGGTGCTATGGTTTTCAAAGATTGCCCAGAAACATGTCCTTCAATACACGGTTGGTCAAATTCAAAATTATATAATTATATATATATGTGTGTGTGTGTACTGTTTATAGTATTTCAACGTGATTGCGTGTATATACTGTATATATATATATATTATATATATACTCAAAATATATTGAAAATTTCAGAAGCCTACAGTACCCAATGCATACATGATTCGATTTATATATACCTACAAATGCTATACAAGTCGCCCAAGTGTAACAACAAAGATCGGCCAGCACCATGGATGGGGCGAGTGGAACATCCATGGGTTTCTCCCAGCGTGGATCGTTACCAAGCGCCAAGGGTTGACATGCAACTGGCAGTGCGCGGTCGCGTGGGGGCATGGCTGACTAGCAGCACACAACAGTGACGCAAGGTGACTGCTGGCATCAAGTGCACCAAAAAGATCCAAAAAGATCCAAAACGATCCACAAATTCCAAAAGATCCAAAAAGATCCAAAACGTCTCAGTTTCCGAAGGATAACACGAATATCAGGAATATGCTATTCATTGGAATTGAACGCAATTGGAACTGAATGGACTGAGATTTCACTGAACGGCTCTCAGCCACAGCCTCCGCCACGAATCACTTCTGTGATTCGTGCGCTTTTTTCTGTACATCCCAAGGGGGTGTCTTCGGGCCCAGCTGCACTTGGAAAGGAATACAAAGACAATTGCCAATCTTAGATACCCAAGTTTAATCATATGGCTGTGTCTGAAAATGCCCCAAATAATGGCCATTGTAATAGGGAACTGAATGATTTTTCCCAGGGGATTCAGGGTCCACGGTTTTTCTGGGCCAAGTTGAAGCTCTGTTCTTAAAAAGGGTGTGAAATCCATGGGATGATCGAAGTTGGGGGAGATCCAGGTACTGAGAATGACCTAAGAACCCAAAATGCAGTGCTTGATGATCTTCTTTATGACACTTGGGGATGTCCCACACCATCTTCCCTGATTACTCCGTAGATTTCCTTTTTCGATCTTTTTGATCAGGGCACTCCCCATGGCTGGACAGTGCCAAAAACGGATAGTTGCAACATTTCTCCGGTGGTTCGAACCCATCGATATGAGTCATCTCAACCAATCATCTCAAGTATGTTTGAGAAGAATTGAGGGAAAAACACCAAAAAATAATATGGAGGTTTCCTAAAATATGTGTACCCGTTGGGATACCCCCATGACTTTGGAAACCCCCATGACTTAGTCATGTGTGTCGATATATGTTGGGCGACATAACATCGGCCTGAAGACGTTCGCAACGTTGTCGTTGTCTGGCAACGACGACAAGGAGAAGAATTTTTTGACAGCGCCGGAGATCCGGAGATCCGACGACCAGCAGGTGTCTAAAAAAAGCACCTGCAAGGGGGAGCACATCAGGGCTGGATATGGCTAGGACGGCTAGGAGTCAGGGCTGGAATATTCTTCTGGTTGGTGGTTGAGCCCTACCCTACCCCTACCCCTCTGAAAAATATGAGTGAGTAACAGTTGGGATGATGACATTCCCAACTGAATGGAAACATAACAAATGTTCCAAACCACCAATAAGTCTTCATCTGGCTCACTCATCGTCTTTTGTCTGTCAGGTTTACATTTTACGTGGACATGCAGGAACTGAGTCAGCAATTTCATCGTCAATGATGTGGCCGAATTGTGCTGAACACTTCCGAATTCATATTGATTCTTTGGTGACTTCATACTTGAAATTAATCATTGGTGTCAACCCAGGACTGTTTAATCGGGGTGGTATGTGACTCTTTGGGGGCAACAGCCTTTTTTAAGATTCACCAAATAGGGTGTATTCAGGCATGACATCTAGTTGGATGGGCATTTCGCAATTCACTAACCTGACAGGTTGCTTTGGGATGCTTTGGGCAGGTTCTCCTGACTGATCATCATCTACCCCTCAGCGTGGCAATGGGAAAACCACCATTTAGAATTCCATTTAGTTCGATGATGATTTTGCCACTAAAACCTCCATTTAGTTTGGGGATTTCCCAGCCACGTCAATCAAAGAACGCTGGTTGTCCAGGCTGCCAAGTTTGATTGCTGGATGGTATGTGTTCGATAGATATTCATATCATTTACATAGATGTATCATATCACATCCCTCAATCATAGCATCTATGATCGATCATCTACGTGTTTATTCATCCCTTGCAACGGGCTTTTGTGTTGCATTCTTTCACACAGGTCTTTGACGGTCTTCGCCTGCTTCGATCCTTAAAACATAGGTGAAAATAGGTCAGTGAATCTATCCATCAGTCCATTCATCCACACATCATCTATATAATAAAATCATATATAAAAGATTGATATATATATATATATGATATAATAACTATATATATAAAGTCCATTAAAATCCCACTTAAAACAGATGTGACATATATTAGTGATTCGCATTGACTCCCCACATCCACCGGTCTGCATATCGCTGCCTTTTTAAACTCCGCCGCAATGTTAGGTCACCGAGTTCCCAAGGTATCAGCTGGGCCACGGGCCTGGCCTACACAAGGCATCTATGGGGATACCGACGCATCCCGTTCCCCTGGTGGTGCAATAACCATCTTGAAAAATATGAGTTCAATGGGAAGGATGACATCCCATATATGAAATGGAAAATAACTTAAATCTTTGAAACCACCAGCCAGGCAGGTTTCTGGTGGATCTAGGCCAATCCGGGGACGGAGATCTTTTTTGACTTCGGGGGACGGAAGATCTACTGAATCTACTCACTCTCACTGATGTCATCCGCATCAGCTCCGCCATTGTCTGTGTACCAGGTCCGAATGGCCTTCCGCCAGTGCTGGAGTTTGCACTCCCAGGGTCGCTTCGATAGATCTTCCTCCGGGGCCCCAGTGGGTCTCTAAAAAACAACCGCAAAGACAGCAGCAATTCTACGCCCTGCATGTTGGATTGGTAGTTCATTTTTGTTGGCCTTGATTCCTAAACACTCTTGATGTAACCAGACAAATACATCCTGAAGCCCTGTCCTCGGGATCTGGGGTTGCTGCCCGTTGGTTCTTGGGCACAGCTGCATAGGCCTTAAAATAATGTAAGAAGGGCCCACCCGCAGCAGGAACAATCTCCAAGATTAGACATTTCTCCAAAATCATAAGTTTACTTGACAAGAATAGCAGGATGTAACACCGTGTAACAGGGAAATCCACCAACAAGAATACCATGCCACTTCATCCCATCGTGCCTTTTTTCTCCGGGCGGAACTCTTTTTACAGTTGTATGCGTGTCTTTGTGTGTGTGTTTTAACTTCATATGTTTTTTTTAAGTTCAAAAGGCCGGCACACAAAAAAAATCACAGTCCAAGTGGCTTGATAATCCGGCTTCCTCTTGCGACGTTCGAGCACCTCACGACGTTTCTCACGCTTCTGCTGGATGCTTTCTTCGCTTCGGCCTTGCTTGGCATTGCTGGCGGAGGTCTCGTCGTCGTCCCGGGCCGACGCTTTGCGCGCACGGTAGCCTGAAAAGCATCTGAAAGCCGCAGAAGTTGATCCAAATACATGGATGCACGCACGTGTGTACATATGTATATATATATATATACATACATACATATATATATATAATAATATCAATAATATTAATGATATTAATCACATTAGCAATATCAAAAAAAAAAAGTATATATATAATATAAAATTATAATAGTATATACAACATACAGATACATATATATATATACACACATAGCAACCCTCAAAAAGATGGAACAGTTTCTAGTCCCAGGATGTTATAGATGATATTTCGTTCATATGTCCAGGTTTATCACTTTTCTATCTTCTTGGGCGTTGCTATATATGGGCACATGGGCGCGCACATTGAAGAGAAACAAAGTTAATATGATGCAAACAAATGAGGGTTTGTCTGAAAATATGGAACCCCAAAATCCAGTAGGTGATCATCATGTTCTTTTAAATGGCCACATTTGGGGCACCCCATCTTCAAATAAAATCAAATAAACCAATATGATGCACCTTTCGCCTTTCAACATGGCCCTGCCCAGTGGCGTTTCTTGGCCACGGGTGATGGCTGCGCTGCTCCGTGACGCTTCCTCTCCTTGGTGGCTGCTGCAGTCAGCACCGAGGACAGGGGCCGGCGAGGTTCCGGAGCGCTGGCAGGGACTGCGGAGGCAGCGCTCTGGTCCTTCCATGGTGGACAGGTGAAATACCCTCTGGTAATTTAACATAGCTATTTAAAATGGCCATTTATAGTGGATTTTCCCATTAAAATAGTGATTTTCCATAGCTATGTTAGTTTACCAGATGGTATCTGGAAACCCCGGATTCATAGACGCAGTGTGGATGTTTAGTCATGGGGGTACCAATGGCCAAAGTACAAAATGGTGATATTCTGATACTCAAATACACCCCAAAATTAAACAGCATAGGGGTTTATTGATCCAGGGTTGATATTACTGGAAACACCATGAAACACCTGCTTTGTTTCGATCGTTTTGTCATGGCTTAACCCTCGGGCTTCGCTGATTTGAGAACATATTCAGCATCCAAGCCTTTTATTGCTCAAAAATTGCACAATGTTTGAGGCGACATGAGGCGGCGACACAAACTGCCGCTTTAGTCCTCTGTGACATCTGCTAGGTCTGGTTGGGATGCCAAATCTGTAGCTTGCAGCAGCTCGCACATCGATGACTGACTATTCTGACTATTCATCGTCTGCGACTGCGAGTCCTCCAAGGGAATCAACGATGGTTCCGGCTGGGCGTTTGGAAAATCACCCAACTACTGTATTTCTAGGGATTTTTCCAGCACGCCTTGGAACCTATTATCAGATATTATCAGAGGCTACCTGCAATAGACTGCAATGATTATTTGAGCATCAGGGTCCAATTCTTTCTGTTTTTTTCCCTAAGTCCCAGAACTTTTCTCATCATTTCCCCATGATCCCCCGGGGCGGAATCATAGTCCCGTCCCAGCGAAACACTCCTTCTTCGTGGCTATTCAGGGTGTATCGTTGTGTACACCCCTACTTCTGGTAAGTCTCTTCAATAACAGCCCCAAACGCTGTTAGGCTCCCACATCATCTGGCAAAAAAGATGTGCTTTTGTGACACCCCAAAATGATTCGGTCATAATTCCAAAAATGTCACATATTTAAAAAAAAATGCACAAATTACCTCACTTCTCTTCACCACTTGGCTATGCTTCAGGGGTCCCCAAAAAAGATCAGACAATCCAAGCCGATTCCCCACACAACTGGTGGACAAGGCCAATTTGATCCAATTTGTGACAAATGGATTCGCAAAATCTCAAAAAAAATCCAACATCACAAATTATCACCTCAGAAATCATCCAGAAATCCACACCAAAATCACCAAATCCATCCGAAATCCCAAATCTCCCCATTTTTTCTCCTGCCATGAATCCCTTCGCAGCAACCCCGGAAGTGGTCCCACGACATCTGCGTCTTCCTGCGAGGAGTCGACCAAATCTGCCCAGCGCGGCCGCGCAGCGGCGGCGGCCATGGGCGACACTTACGGCGGAGCCGTTTTTTTTCGTCTGAGGCTGCTGCAGCATGGAGAAATCTTCGGCCGATGTTTTGGAACAACGGAAATCAAACATGAATATATGATATAGATAAATGTATCCACATTGTTTTTTAAATATATGATTTATCTATATCCACATTGTTTTTATATACAATCAGAGAAAAAAAATCCCGGGATATAGATACCCTCTGGTAATTTAACGGTTTGCTATGGAAAAACACCCATTGTTAATGGGAAAATCCACTATAAATAGCCATGTTCAATAGCTATGTAACAAATTACCAGACGGTAAATCAAACATGATGGTGAAAACAATGTGGACATATGTTTAAAAAAAACAACTCAAGTTCACAGTGGACCAATAATTGAATCATGTTCGGTGTGTTCGCAAAATTGCTTGAAAGTACAGTACAATGTTGGAGGAAAACGAAGCATTATCATAAATACAAACAAAAATAACATGGGTTTCACAGGAAAAAACACGAAAAAACATCCCATATACATCCCACAGCGCCAATAAATCATGCCGTCTTCATCCCGGAGCCTCAAATGAGCAGTTCACCTTCAGCCCCTGTGGCACCCAGGCTGGTTTGTGTGGCTTACTTCTCCAGGAGTTAGCCAGCAAGTGAGGAAAGCCGTCCTTCAACGTCATTCCACTCGAAATAACATGCTGATCGGTTTTGAGCGAACTAATTGTCACTATATATCACTACATGCAATCATTCATTTCAAGTGAGACATTTATATACAAACATTTACATAGATCATGGATCAGTTTTAAGCTAATTATCAAGTATCATCGGTTGCCCTCTGGTCAACTAACATAGCTGTTATGGAAAATAATCATGTTCATAGCAAAATCAACGAACTATTCATGGGCCATTGTTAGTACCCTCTGGTAAACTAACATAGCTATGGAAAATGGACCTTAAAATTACAGATGATTTAAGCTATTGTGATTTTCCACTTCGCGATGTGTGATAAACCAGAGTTTACCTTAAATGGGCCATGTTTAGTATGTTCAATTCCCAGAGGGTACCCTCTGGTAATTTAACATAACTATGGAAAATCACCATTTTCAATGGGAAAATCCACTATAAATGGCCATTTCCAATAGCTATGTTCAATTCCCAGAGGGTATCACATGCGCGCATCAAAGGGCCTCCGAAAGACGTTCCTTGCGATGTTTTACAAGCCTCGGGCGATGCACTCACCTCCGCCTGGCAGGATGCAACTTTTTCCCCAAAGAAATAGCCTTTGATAATGACAAACATAGCTATGGAAAATGGATGAAAATGGCCCATTTATAGTTGATTTACCTATTAAAGATTGTGATTTTCCATAGCTATATTAGTTTACCAGAGGGTATTGTATTTCATAGGTTTTGAATGATGTTGATACATCCCCAAATATATATCTCAAATGTCAATGTTTGAAGTGTCATACTCAAACAAAATCAAAGAAATGGATGTTCATCATATACCCTAATATGTATATATATATATATATATACATCTATGTATGTATGTATGTATGTATGTATGTATGTATGTAGGTAGGATGGATGGATGGATGGATGGATGGATGGATGGATGGATGGATGGATGTAGGTAGGATGGATGGATGGATGGATGGATGCATGCATGCATGCATGCATGCATGTATATATATATATATTAATATGTGTGTGTATCGAAACATGGTGTACTGTATATGGATGCTATGGTACAAAGAAATTGGCTGCAGGATCTTCAACGTATCGCCATCTCCCAGAGTTCAGCTCCTTAGGGAAGCCCCATTTTTTGGGGGCAAAATGAGACCCACGTCCCCAGAAGGTCACTAGCAATTTCAATGTCTATCCAGGAATGGGATGGCAATGAGCTTGAGCTCGTCCAAACATGGTAGATACCCGAAAATCGCATAAAATCGCTTCATTTTGATGGAGAAAATGATTAATTATACGCCATTGGATTTTCACTCATTCTCCCCATATCAAGGGGGCCCCACAAAGGCAATATCAAAAAAAACTAGGCTCACACAAGGGCACAAGGCCCTAATATGGGTTGATGGGCTACGAATGTAGTACACCTATTGGCGTGGAGCCAAGGTATTGTTGGGATATTGCTGACTTGATGTTTGTTTCTCAGAGCTGATCTTGTTACCCTCTGGTAATTTAACATAGCTATTGAAAATGGTCAGTTATAGTGGATTTTCCCATTAAAAATGGTGATTTTCCATAGCTATGTTAAATTACCAGAGGGTAGGGTTAAAAAAAACTAGCTCTGGAGCCCTTCCTATCCCTCCAAGCCTTTATACATCTTATTCAATATTCACTGAATTCACTGCGTACTCTTTTTGAGCAGGCTTTCAGCAAAAGGTTTCCAAAAGGATCTGCACTCTTCCTTTCCTACACTCTGTACAAAAAACTAACATCTATATACATACATAGTTCTTGCAGATGGTAACCCATCAACCACCCAAGTACTGAAAAAGTCAAAAGCCTTTTTGTTTGGCAAAATCCCAATAAGCACAACTCCTTTACCCAAGTCTTACATCTCATCTAGCCCCACTTCAAACGAAATAGGAAAATCCCGCCCAACTCCCCCATCCTGACAATATCCCATGATGATTTCTCATAGGAAAAAGGATTAGAGGATTAGATGAATCGATAAACAATGATAAACATGAACGTGATTAAAACATATTAAAACAACCCTTGCTTAGACTCCTGACATGTTACATGTCCTGGCAGTTCTTCTTTTTTGATATTCTTGGAGTGTTGGCTACTTGGCAATTGTTTGAGGAGGTTGATGGGGTATCCACGAATCCGTGTACAACATTGATGGGGCCACGATACGAGCCAAATACGGAGGTTTGTATGAGCTGCTGGATATGATCGGCCCCTACTGCAAAGTAGTCACTAATGTCCAATGGAAACCAAAAGATCCTCTCACTATCTCTCACTCCAACTTTCATCACTTCACTGCTTCGGAACTTCGAGTTCAAACCATCGCTGCCCTGCCCCTGCAGGCCCTGCCTGAAATGCGCTAAAGGGATTGCATCGACCTCCGTGCCAAGACTGATCCATCTTGGGCATGTCCAAATGCCTAGCCACAATGACGTGGCCAAGGGCCATCAATTGATGGCGGTTGATAAAAAGATGGGATTTATGGAAACACCGAAACACCTTCCATTTTTTAGCAATTTTTCGATAGTTGACTTATGTTGACTTTGAAGATTGTTGGCCCACTTTGAGGTTTGATTTGAAAACCAAGTGTTGGAAACTCAGCTGACCACTGCTTTCAGAAGTTATTCAAAGACGCGAGTTGTCGTATGAGAAAATATGGTCGCTGTAATTTACCCAGATGGTATCGTCCACGATGTCGGAGATTTTTATATAGGCAGGTTTGACGTGTCAATTTGCATTGGACATTCTGGTTGGTGGTTTCAACCATCTTGAAAAATATGAAAGTCAATGGGAAGGATTATTCCATATATTATGGAAAATTAAAAAAATGGTTGAAACCACCAACCAGCATTGGTTCTTCAACTGGGCTACCATGGGCTACGCCAATTCTCGGCATCTCCTGTGACCCTCTCTACCTATTGCGTCCCAGCAACTCACGTGAGCGCGGCTCCGATTCTGGTGAGCCGGCAGGCCTGCAGTTTCACCCTGAAAATGGGGCACAACCAAGATCAGTCAAGTAGCTAATCAAAGATACCCCCAAAAAAATGTGTCTGAGTCTGAGAATTTACAACCAAAGATGTATATATATCTAATATATTGATATAATTGCCTACACAACCACTGTTGTTTCCCCCAGAATGGACCACCCACTCACGGGTTCTGAGGATTCACTGAGGATTCACTGACCGTCAGAATGAGATCAGTGGGCGCTCATTTTTTACGAAGGAAGTTAAACGTGTTAAACAACCAACCAGTGATGATATCACACAATCATCTATAATTGTTATATTCTGGTAGTGTAGTATAGAAAATGATGTTGTCACTGGTAGTGTGGTATCATGGGATAAATAAGGGTAATTAAATATCATGACATGGGACATCATCTATTTTCCCCAAAAAAAACATATCCAGGATAGTTTTTTGATAATATCAAATATATATATATAAATATGACTATGCATAGATGATAGGGAAAACAAAACAAACATATTATGACTATCCCATGTAGTAAGCCCAACAAGATGGGATTGTTCGATGATGCTTTCAATGCAATTTCCGATGATCCAACGTTTAGGCATCGGTTTCGTCAATGGATTGGTTTAGTTGGGAAAATCTTAACTGGAAACCGCGGAGCTTACCATCAAATATAGGGCTTTCCTGTAAATTGTCCTTTAAACCATGAATCTTTTGACAAGAAAAGACGGCGAAAGATTGGAACATTTGAAATTCAATAGGGGAGAGCAACATTGAACTACCATCCTGGAAATACTTTTCGGATCTTTTCGGCATCCCTACCGTTTTAGGGGGGACTTCCCCAAATGCAACTTACATTCTGGGTACTTCGAAAATGTAACTTACATGTTCCCAAAAACCCATAAAATCAGCACCTAAAATGTATCTTACATTTAGGGAGGTCCCTCCGAAATTTGGAGGGACCAAAAAAATGTAATATTACAGTACATTTGGAAGGTAACACCTCTAGTTACATTTTTTCCCAGATCCCCTCCCAAAAAAAAACCCTCGGCTAAGGGGGTGAGAATTTTCATGATTTGTTGGCATCTTTTTGGGAGCCCCTGACGCTCCGCTGGCTGCTGGACCCCTCCTCAAGATGGGCAGTGGATCAAAAGCCGCGGAATCCACATGGGTTTTCAGCTGCAAATGGCTGGGATTTATGCGATTCATGGGAAATTTGGAGCCATCATCGTATTTGGACCACATGACTCGTATGACCAATATGTGAACAATCTGGAGCGGGAAGAAATGCCTTTGTTTGGTATTAGCAAGTTGATGTGCTCATCCAATGTTCTATCTCTCATTCTTGTGAAGGACCGAAATCAGCATTGGGCCTATGCTTAATTCTGTGCGCATAGAATAAGCAAACCTCGATATGACTTAGCTCCAAATGTCATGTGCAGCCAAAAGCTACATCTTGGTACACCCAAACTTGAAGCAATGGCAACTTCCCACTTCTCCCATGTCGCTTGATATTGGATCCGAAGTGTTTGTTGCCCATGGTGTATGCAAGTGAGTCACAACTGGACCCAAAAATGTCCAAAACCTGTCAATCAACACCAGAATCTTCAATCGCTATTCAATCGCTTCATCCAAAATAGCACTTGAACATTCTTCAAGGCTAATCTTTGTGTAGTCTCCCACCTCAGCTCCCCGAAAAAGATGGTCTATGGAGAAACTACCATCCCACACTACCCCATGGAAAGCACCCAACAACGGTTCCCATACTCACATGTTAGTCATGTCCGAGTGTCGGAGGTTTCAGGCTGCCCTCCGGCAAACGTGGAGGATGCGCCGTGTCCCGCAGATCCTTGGGACTGACATCGCCACGACGGGAACACATGTCCTCCCGAGACTACAGTAGTGTCAATGGATTCGTTCAAGGAAACTGTAAAACTGTAGAACTATACCGAAAACATCAGAAAATCCACGCTTCTTATCACCAAATACAGGGGGTTGCTGCTGCATTTTTTCCCCTTCAAACAATTCTGCAAACTTCCGGAGGCAGCATGCCCTTAAGTGTAGCACAACTTTGGCCGCTGGACTGCCCTCTGGCAGTCGTGGAGGCACATCCTCAAGGGTTTGTCGGCTTCCGATCTATGGTCATGTTATTTAAGATAGCCCATTTTCATCTTCATGGGTTATTCTAAATTGAATTTGCTTAGGCTTATTCTCAAATGAAATGACAATAAAATTTCGATTTTGGACATGACTTCTTGTTTTTTTTGAGAAATGAACCGTGTGGTATCAGCCAGGTCTAAGCCAGGTCGGCTGGCTGTGGTCAACCATTTCTAAACCCAAGCTCTTCAAACAACTTGAAACCAAACCTGGTATGTAAACTCAACGGCTAGATTGGGATAAATCGGATAGATGATGATCAATAATTTGTTCTTAGAGTCTTACTATGTCTTACTATGTCTTACTATGTGGGTGTGTCTGAAAACAGTGTACCCCTAAACCCAATGGTTAATGATCATTATCCCTATTAAATGGCTATTTCATTGGAATATACCCTATTTTCAGACAAACCCATGTATACCTCCCTATTTACCACACCCATCCCTCCCCTAAGAGGCCGCGCGGATTTCGCTGCGGGGCTGGTTTCGGGAACCCGAGGCGTTAAGGTCTTGTTGGGTGGGCTGCTTTCGGGCAGACGAGGAGGCACATGTGGTGCCTCTCGGGCCTCCTGGAAAGTTGGGAAAGCTGGAGGTCAGTGGGTTTAGTTGGGAAAATCTACTGGAAACCATCGGTTTTAGTATGGAAACCATAGGTTTTAGTATGGTTTTAGTCCCAGATCAAAGGTTTTTACTGCAGAGTTTCCCTTGAAACCAACTGGAGGTGAACATAAAGACCTCGGAAGAAATGGCAGGCCTTCGCTGGGCTGCAGGCTCGATAGCCTCCAGAATATCGAGAAATGAGGACGTTACCCGTTACCCCAAAGATGGGGAATTGGAATTCAACAACATCAGACTCATGGAGATGGGTTTTTCAAACCTTAGCAGCCTCTAGTTCTCAGCAAAAAAAACGCGCAAAATAGCACAAAATAGCTGGTGTATGCTTGTTCTTATCAGCTTTCATGCCCTCCCTACGATGTCACTTGCATTTGAAGCCTGAAAACCATCGCGGTATGTTGTTTCTGTTTGATGTCATAAAACTATAGGGTGAACCATTTCAAGTGAGACAAGACCTGAAGAAATAGGCGTTTCACATTGTGAAACCTGCAGACGAGCTGACCAATGTGAGGGCTACTGATCAGACAGGAGGAACCAATAATCTAAAGCTAACCAAAGTCAAGCAATGAAAACAGAACACTCCTGTACCGGAACTCATGTTAATTGTGGTCGTTATGAGTTTATCAGTTTCTTCCACGAATATTTTGGGAAGTGCATCTCCCACTCATTTAGCACGAGAAGGGCACAGACAACGATGACCCATAGGGACCTCCACCATGGGGCATTTGGAAAGGGTTCGGTCTCGACCTATGCGCCAGGGGTCCAAGACTGTTGAAGTTGATCTTGTGCCTTTGGATGTCTGTGGCTATGATGGTCTATGATGGTTTACTGTACTAGTCCAGTAATACCTTTAAACATCTGAAAAGGCAAAGAAGGACCAGAGTCCATTGACCCAAACCCATCTCGAATCTTTTTGTTGGGGTGCTTTTATTTTGCACCGACAGTGGAAAATCCATGGGACCCATGGGAGTTGGATCATCAGGAGCCTCAGGACCTGTCAGGAGGTAGCCAGCTATCCATGGGATCTTCAGAGGGTTTTCTGGGTCGAAATTGGGCAGCCGTGCCTCTGTTTGGGCGCCTGAAGGCTTTGATAGGTGGAAAGCAATGGCAAGGGATAGGAAGGGATGGGAAAATGTGGGAATGGCATGTCCAAGTTTGAAATGCATTACACCTCTGGGAATTTAACATAGCTATTGAAAATCACCCATCTTACAAACGGTAAATCAATCTAAATCATATATGAACGGCAATTGTCCATAGCTGTATAAAACTACCGGATGGCATGAAAATAAATATCAATGTAGCTGCATGAAGGATTGGTTTGCGCTGCGCTCTCACCAGCTGCTTTTCTTGATCCATTCACCGTGACAAATGATGTGTTGTATTAACATATGACAAACTGATAAGATCTGAGCCATCTGATTTTGACCAGTAATAGTTGAGTCATAGTAAATACCTTTAATTTAAAATACCCTCTGGTAAACTAACATAACTATGGAAAATCACCATGTTTAATGGGAAAATCCACTATAAATAGCCATTTTCCATTGCTATGTTAGTTCACCAGAGGGTAAATAGCATCATTTCAGACCTATACCATACTATCCCTCAAACATCTGCCCAACGACAGGCCAAACCTCCTCAGGCGGAGCAAAGTCCATGGGCGCGATCCACATGGCCAGCTCTAAGATCCGCAGGGGCGAAAAGCCTTCCAGCCATCCATGGGCCTAGCTGGTGCCGGGGCTTGGAAGCCAAATGTCATATTCAAAGGCTGAGTTTGGTGGATGTTGCTTGATGTTTGTTGATGAATTTCACAATTGATGAACTTTGTACTTCGGTGCAGTTCGACGAAGTTCGATGTATCTACCATAGTTTCCGTAGTTTTTGGAGTTATAAACCAACTTAGCTCCTTATAAATCAGGCCCCACCTTTCAACTCCCAAAGAAGAATTTGAAGGCTCCAACTGGGGACTTTTGATTCTCAGATCATGAAAAATTGTTAAAATCATGGGTGGTGCCCAAACCAAACATGAGATTGTGAAGTGGTGCACCATGCCAAACGGTGACAAAGATGCAGAGCGACTAAAATCTTTCAGGTTGAACCACGAGATACCCGGAAAATGGCCCATGAACATATAATAGATAATTTACATTGATTGACATTGATGTTAAAACATCATGATATTCCAGTTCTCAAAGTGTTCATTCACCGGAGGGTATGTATCTATACTTAGCGGGTTGGATCCCAGAAAATGAATGTTGGTTGAATCCCAGAAACGACCACCAAGAAATTGTTTGGTATCAAACGTATCACCTCAAAAATGTGTTGCGCTTTCCTTTTTTCATGGGGCTTCCCCATTTTCTCTTGTTGTGGATGGGTGGATGGTTAAGGGAAAATTCCATCTATCCTCATGGCCCTGACGCCTTCATGGTGGATGCACCGGGCCGAAGGGTGGGATCTTTTTGCAGGGCCTGGCGAAAAATCGCCAGGGGCGAAATTAACAAGAGTAGATTTAATGCAAAAAAAACAAGTTTGATGATAGATTTGAATTTATGATTCTATAAAAGTAGATGTTATATCATCTATGATTTAGTTCAAACCCCAACAAAAAGATAAATTTGAAATGATAATAGAATATATATAAATAGATGATAGTAGATTCAAAAATAGACAAAACACTAATATATATATATATATAAACAATTCTATTGGATCCCAAAAAAGTTAGATTTGAACTGATAACAGATTGTATAAAAAATCATACAAGTTTAAGCCCCGGAATCCCAAACAAGTTAAATACAAATATGATATAGTACGTACATATACTTGTAGTATCTTAAAAAGTGACATTATAGATACGAGTATAATAATGATCATAAAAGCGATCTTGGATATACTCGATGATATATATATATATAATTTCCTAAAATCCCACTCAAGTAAGTATAGTGAATCTACAGTAACTTCTACAAGTTCCCTTAAAAATCCCAAGTATCGTTCCTTAAAAAAACCTATAAGATGATATAATCCCAAGTAGTATCTCAACTACAAAGATCTGGATAAATCAAAACATATTTCACTAAGCCTAAAAATTCTTGGGCCATGGCTTCGGGAGAACCTGCTGAAGGAAGTCCTGCAGCTGGCTGCCATGCTTCGGAGGAAGGCTCGGCGGCTCGTCCCTGGGCGGTTTAAACCATAGCTGGGTGGAAACATCATGAGGGATGTAACTGTGAAGGATAATAATGATGGTTATTATCTGTTATGATGATGGTTATGATGATGGTAAAATGAACTTATTCTGATGGTTATTATGAATAATATCATTCTGTATCATGGTTATTATATGTTGTTATTATTTATCATTGGAATGAAGATCATACGTAACATGATTCTCAAGCAGCTACAGCCAGCTCTTCGGTAGTGGCTGGGTCTCGAACGGAGAAAGACAGCCAGCCTCAGTCCCAGACGTGTCGATTCGCTTCATCAGCTCCCAAACAGTCAACTTGCCACTCTCCTGTCGGCTGGAGAACTGGATCATCACATTCCTGGTTCAACCATGGTTCAACCATGGGTGCTGACCAAAGAAAGGGGGTTCCATACATGGGGATACTGCAACCACTCCATGTCAGGTTCGCCACTACGACCACATGTTCGACCACCTGCCTCTGACTGCAATATATCTGGCTCAGGAGGGGCCCCTTTTTCTAGAATAGATTAAGACCCAGCCTCGACCTATGGGCTGCTGACTTGGGCATTGCGCCCATCTGGTGAAAACAGAGCTGAGCGCTCTTTTGCATTTGGTGTTTGTGTTTGAGCCCAACACGTTGCCACTGTGTGCCTGCTGCATTGGCAGCGGAGCACCTACGCTCCGGGGCCTTAGCACCTACGCTCCGGGGCCTTTCATTTTTAGCGCTTTTTCCTTGAGTTTGACTTCGTGAAGGCGAAGTGGAGACTGACCTGATCCTGACGATCAACTTTTGCCTCCAAGCCTGCATTTTGCAGCAATGGCGACTCGCAGTGATGAGAGTGTTCCTTCATGGGATGGACAGGCGAAAAATTGGCGTAGATACACAAAAGAGGTTGCATGGTTTGTTGCATCGACCCCCACCAAAAAACGTAGATATGTGGCCTCCAAATTGATTTCAAGACTATCTGGTCCTGCTCGTCTTCTAGCTATGTCATGGTCAAGAACAGAGTTTGATTCTCCGGACGGTACCCTGAATCTTTTGAAGAAGTTAGCTGGTTCTCCACTGGTTCGAAAGACATTACCAAATACAGCTGCAATTCTTCAACAATACCTGGGATTTAGGCGACAGCCTGGTGAGTCAATGGCAAATTTCTTGGTACGTGAAACTTTGGGATATGAAGAGTTTTCTGAAGCCCTCATTCGGCTATGGGAAGAACAGACCGGTATTGATCCTGCTGAAAGAAATTTTGGTTTGCCACCTATTTCTGAATGGGATTGGTGGGATGATGACTATGAGTATGGCTATATGGGGGGCATGGATGTCACTACTGGTGATGCGGAACATCAGCATGATCCTGCGGCTACTGCGGCAGCTGCAGCCTCTCCTGAGCAAGGCGCTGAACCTCCTGCAAGTGCGGCTCCAGGCTCCTCACCGAGTCATCGAGTTGGTGCGGCCTCTGAGCATTCTGCGCCAGGACCTGAAAGTGATCCGGGAAAGCCCAAAATACCCCAAGATGTTTCAGAAGTTTCTTTGGCAGACTCCTTCATCATGGGTGTTTTACGTGGTTGGCGTTTGTTGAAGGCTGCAAGCCTTACACCAGAAGAAACTAGGGACATTTTGTCCACCACCCAAAACAAGTTAGATTTCGAAGCCATCAGTCAAGCTCTGTCGGCACTTTGGGATGAACAATTGCTTGGCCACCGTTATTCACAACATGCTGGACGTCATGGAAGTTCCAACAATGCTCTATGGCATGAATGGCATGATGATGGATGGGATGATGGCTATGAGATTAACTATGATGAGATGTGGACTTGGGGAAACGATGATGGTTGGTGGAATGATGGTCAATATCATGATGAATGGCATGAACATGAATGGCCCGACGAAACCTCCTCTGCCAAGGAAGTTCAGACTACCTTGTCACCCGACGAGGAAGAGCGACTTCAAGATGCTCTTCAAGCTGAACAGGTTGCTGAGCAGTTAGCTGCCGAAGCAAGGCGCACTTGGCAAGAGGTCCAGAAAACAACCCAACAACTGAAACGTGACCGAGGTTTTGGACAAGTCAACACTGTCAACAATGGTCGTTGTTTCAATTGTGGTGGTAACCATTTGGTTAGGGATTGTCCTGATAGACGTCATGGGAACTACCCCAAGGGCAAGTTTTCTGGGAAGGGCAAGGGCATGCACTACATGATTGACCCCATCGACTCGTTCTTCCAAAACAAAGGCAAAGGCAAGAAAGGTAAGTCAAAGTTTTCCCACATGTCTGAACAGGAGATGTTTTGGAGCTCAAAGGGCAAGAGTCCTTACCATTCGAAAGATGGCAATGGCAAGGGCTTTAGCAAGAACCCCGTGAATGCCTACGCACTCTATGGCATGGAACTGGCCTCAACGACGAAGGCATCAACCAGCACTGGATCTAGCTCTTTGGCTTCCCAAGCTCATGGCATGCTGGACTGCGGAGCAACCGCCTCTGCAGCACCTGAAGTTTCTGCCCAGGAGCTGGTGAAAGCTGTTTTGTCTCACGATCGACAAGCAACCGTGAACATTCTCTCAGCGCAGCGGCCATACTTTCGCTTCGGCAATGGGAAGTGGGGCAGAGCTAGGTACAAACTGGAAATTTGTTCGGATGTTTCTGGTCAAAAGAAAACGTTTTCATTGTACGCGCTTCCAAATCCAATCGAGTTTTACCAGCCCAACTTTGACAAGTCACAGCTCGTTCCTATTTTGATTGGTATGGATCATCTTGGTGCACATGGTTGTCAAATGTTGGTTGATTTTGGATCTGGTTTAGCAATGGATGGCGTTGATGATAATCCTGAAGTATATCAACTACCAGTCAATCCGAAGAAACACTATATGTACGATATTTTATACCATCTCACACGTGGTCAAACCAGAGCAGAAGGGCATGCACAAGTGAATGTTGTTGCTGAAGCTGATCCACTTTTTGCACAACCTGTTTTGCAGTTTCGTCCTCTTGACTTTTATACCACTCAGCAGTCATGTTCCTCTTCCTCTACTACATCTTCTCCTCTCAAGCATGATCGTGAAGAACTGTTGCGAAAACTTTTTCGATGTGGCCGCAACATGGCTCAGATGGGCAATTCGGCCAACAAAGAAGGTGTAGAAGCCCCCGCATCTACCACCGCGACTGGCAATGGCGACCTCGCAAAGCCTGACTCCGGCGGAAGAAGCGGAGGTGCTGACCAATGTGAAAGCCAACGCAAAGAGCAAAGCATGTGCTCGCCCGTTGGACCCAGAGAGGACAATGCCTTACGACCCTCGAGACCCTCGTGCTTCACCGGCGACATGGCCATGCAACGGAAAGCATGTGGAGGGGAATCCACAGGGCAATCCACACGGCGCTTGGGCCACGTGCGAAGTCTGTGCCCTACGCCTGTGGTACCAGCCAAGGAAGGGATCTCCTTCCAATCACACCATGGTCAACAATGCGGCGATGGTTCAGAAGGCCTTGACGCTGCTCCAGCCGATGCTTCGTGGTGCACTTCCGACGGAAGAGATCGTGAAAGCCATGCTGGACAAGATCACCGCGGAGGAGAAGCTGAACAACAAAGTTCAGTACCTGCTGGAGAAGCCCAACGTCGAGAACTCCTTGAAGGTCCCAAAGTCCAAGGCAGCCTCAAAGAATGTGGAGAAGAAGATGGTTGTCACCATGGGCTACATGGACCAGAGCTCGCCGATGACAAGTCCTTCCGACAGCAGCTGGGATCCGATTTTGGATTCACCAGATCGTCGCAACCTGGAGGACTTCCTGACCGAGCAGGAAAAGATCGACTTGCGCAACCTGGTGCTTGCAAGAAAGGGGATGACACCACCAGACGAAGTCATCCTCACAGAAGAAAGCCAATGACTTCTTCGAGCCTACCCTTGACCACTACGATGGGCTCCAAGGTCATGAAGATGGTGACGATGATGACAGCAATCATGAGTCACCTCGCCTTGCAGATCGCCATGGATGGACGTGAATGTCTATGGGAGATTGCATGTGCTAACAACAGTTGGCTGACTCAAGCGGCTCTCAACCATGGTCTACCTGCCCGAAGGATCAACTATAAGCAAGGTTTTGACCTCTACAAGAAGTCTGCATGGATGGAGATGGAACGCCTGCGGAAGATCAAGCGTCCCAAGAAACTTTGGCTCTCACTGCCGTGCACTCATTGGTGTCAATGGACCAATGTCAACTACAACACTGATGAGCGCAAGGCGGTACTCGAAGATCTTCGCCGACGAGATCGTCGAATGATGCACTATGCCAAGGACTTCATCCTCAATGCGGTTGATGACGACCCAGACATTGATGTGTACTGGGAGTGGACTTTTCCATGTTCTGGTTGGTCTCAGCCTCCTATGGTCTCGCTGCAGCATGGACTTTTGCAACGTGGCCAATCATGGGAGCGCTGCAGAATCGATGGATGCAACTATGGGATGCGAAACTCTGATGATTCAGCGTTTATCCACAAGCGCTGGGAGATTCGCACCAATGATGAGCTCTTCCATCGCAACTTCAAGTGCAAGGTTTGCCCTCGAAATCATCAACATGCTCTCATACAGGGGATTGAAACAGCTCGCTCTGCATACTATCCAGTGCGGATGGTGGAAGCAATTGTGCGGCATTGGAAAAATCAACTTGCTCCTCAACGTCATGTACAAGCCTTGACCTCGCCTGACGCTGTGGTGAACTCCAAGCATGCAGAGTGTGATGTGAAGTGGACTCAACGTCTTCAAGCTCTACCTGTTGAAGAAGTTCTTCCTCCTGTACCTGATGATGGTGATTTGTCTGACGGCTATGAACCCTCTATACTTGAAGCTCCTCAACATGGCGATAATGTCAATGAACAAGAACGACAAGAATGGCATGTCAAACTGCAGCACTATCACCGTGCAGCAGGACACCCTACGAACAAGAACTTGATTCACCTGTTCCGAGATGCTGGTCTCCCCAAATGGAAGATCGAAATGGCTCGCGATCTTCGATGTGATGCTTGTGATCGACTTCTACAAGGCAGCAAAAGCTCAGGTGAAGTACCAAGGGCGTCAACGCACCCTTTGTGCAAGGCATGGGAAATCGTTGGAGCTGACTCCAGCGAATGGCATGTTCCTGACCAGAAGATCAAGATCAAGTTCATTTTCCTCATTGACTTTGCCACCAAGCTCCGTGCGGTGCATGTGGTGAAATCGTATGGGCTTACGCAAATGTTGTCCGAAAGTTCTGAGGATGTCATCAAGGCGATTGCTGAAAAGTGGCTGGCCGATAAGCCGAAACCTCGACTTATTGTGCCTGACAACTCCTCTGTCTTCACGGCCACCGACGTGAACGAGTTCCTCACCAATGTGGGCATCCAACTTAGCCTGCCGGCTGAGAAGGAATCATGGGCTCATGGACTTGTTGAATCAGCAATCAAAGATGTGAAGATGACGGCTTCTGCAATTCAACTTGGACAACCAACTCTTCCTCCTGGAGTTTCTCTTCAACTTGCGTGTGCGGCTCTCAACAGTACTGAGTATACCAAGGGCTATTCCTCTTTTCAGTGGTGCTATGGCAAGGACTACACCATAACCGATGAAGAGGTCAGAACCTCTGACTCCTTGCCGGACACCACCAAGCACTTTGAGTATGAGGCCCTGGTTCGAGCTCGACAAGGTGCTGAAGAAGTTGCACGTCGTACCCGAGCTCTACGTGTGATGTCAAAGCTCAAGAATTCCAGCGTGAAGCAGCCTTTGCGCACCTTCGAACCTATGGACTTAGTCATGGTTTGGCGCAAACAATGGCCTGCACACCTACTTGCTCCTGGCCGACGTGGTGGCTTTCAACGAAGTATCAAGCCTCACTGGATTGGCCCAGGACGTGTTGTTTTCCATGAAGTTCTTCATCATCAAGAAGAAGGCGATGAGAGAAGACACATCCTATGGGTGTTGGTGGGATCGCAGCTGTTGCGCTGCAGTGCTCATTCGGTGAGACCTGTCACCGACACCGAGCGTGTTACCTTTGAAGTGTGTGACAAACAAGACGTCACCAAATGGAAATCCTTAGCTGATGTCCTACCTCAACGTGAATATCTTGACATCACTGATCAGGTTCCTGGTGAAGACGAACGTGAATTTCCAGATCTACCAGATCAACCTGATGAATCGACGGCTGTGCCTGCAGCTGTTGCCAAGAAGGCCAAGAAGGTTTTCCAGAAAGGCGTCACCTTTTCTGATCCTGCACTTCAACCACGCTCCAAGATCGTTGGCAAGAAATCCTTGACTCCAGATGACTGGAAGCCCAAAGCAGGTGATGATGATGTTGAACTACTACCTGAACCTGGCAGTGCTTCTCAACCTGCAGCACTGGAACCTGCGGCTTCTGACTCTCCTGACCTTGAAGAGTTGTTGGAGCGCGATGTCAACGACTATGATGTTTCTCCTCGACCTCTACCAGACCCTAAGAAGCAAAAGATCAACGATGACAAAGACATGAGAACCCTGCTGAGGGAACAACACTCCTCTCAGTATGACCTCAAATGGGTGGAGGAACTACATCAGCCAGATGATGGACTTTTGGACTTTTACCATCTGGTTGTTGACAATGACTTGGATTGTCTCTCCATGCAGTTTGACTTGGACTTTGTGTCAAATCGGCAGTTCAAGAATTTCCTCAGAAGCCCCACTGCGTATCTGGTCAAAAAGATGCGTGACTCTGAAGTGGTTCTCAGCAAATTGTCTCCTCAACATCGTGAACTTTTTGCACGTGCCAAGGGGAAAGAAATTGACAGCTTCCTCAAGAATGAAGCAGTGAAAGCCTGCCACCGAAATGATGAAGTTCGAGAAGCCATGGGCAGTGGACGCATTGTCCGTGCTCGCTGGGTGTTAACCTGGAAACTTGTGCCTCCTGAAGATCAAGATGAAGCGCGACAAGATGCTTCAACGAATCCTTCCACAACACATACTTCAGATGGTCTCAAGAAGGCGAAGGCACGAATTGTGCTACTGGGTTTTGAACATCCTGAGATTGGCAATGTGGACTACAAAACGTCCTCACCTGTGCAGTCTATGTTGGCTCGCAATTTGCTCTACCAGGCCACTTGTCAACACTCATGGCAACTTGAAGGTTTGGATTTAGCAACTGCTTTTCTCCAGACGGCTCCTACGTCTGCAGATGCCAACTTGTGGACTTATGGTGTAGCTGAACTTCGATCAGCACTTGGACTTGACACCAATGGCATAATGAAAGTCATGCGAAACATCTACGGCAGCACTACTGCTCCTCGTGGATTATGGCTCGACCTGCACAAGACCCTCACTGGACTTGGAGGATATCCTGCCTTGGGTGAAAGATGTCTGTGGGTTTGGTATGATGAAGACCCTGAAACCCGACAACCATTCACCATTGGCATGATGGGCGGCCATGTAGATGACTTTCACCGAACTGGTGACCCCAACAATGAGAAGTGGAATGAGGTTTGCAGAAAGATAGATGCAGCGTACCGATGGGGAACAGCCAAACACTCTGCATATCGTCATGCTGGCACTGATGTTCAGGTGAAACGTGACAACGATGGCGACCTTGTCATCACCGTCAACCAGCAGTACTATGTGGACTCCCTGCCGGACCTTGACATCTCTGCAGATAGATTACGACAAGAAGATGCACGAATGACCTCGCATGAGATTGCAGCTTGCCGTGGTGCTCTTGGCGCACTACAATGGCTGGCAATACAAACTCAGCCACAACTTTGTGCTCGTTGTAATCTCCTTCTCACTGAAGTCATTAAGTTTGGGAAGATGAGTTATGCCATGGAAATTCAACGTATGATTGGCGAAATTCGCCGTGAATCCTATGAGCTCAAGTTCTTCAAGCACAAAACTGCGAAGACCTGGCGCGATGTTTGCTTCATAACAATGGCTGACCAAGCGCATGCGAATCGAGACAAAGGTGATTCAACTGGTGGGATCATCACTTTGATGAGTGGTCCTGAAGCTCTTAAAGGAGAAGTTTGTCCTATGTCTCTTTTGGCTTGGCGAACCTGGAAGCTTCGTCGCAAAGCTCTTGGATCAAATGACGCAGAAGTTCAAGCAGTACTTGAAGGTGAAGATTGGAATTTCCGCGCCCGACTTCTTTGGTGCGAAATTCATGGTGCTGGACTTTCTCGTCCTCGCGATGCCAACAAAGTGGAATTCTCAGAAGAGATGGTGAAACAAGTAGAAGGACTTCTTTGCACTGACAGCAAAGGTGGTTTCGATGCAGTGCTCTACAATGAGAGTCCTCTCCTTGGCCTGAGCAACACCCGCTCTGCTCTCCAAGCTCTTCAACTCCGAGAATATCTTCAGCGTGCTGGCTCCAAACTACGTTGGGTGGCCAGTGACTATGACTTGGGCGATAGTCTGACAAAGAAGCGTCCAGACTGTCGTGTGGGCCTCCAGAAGTTCCTCAAAACATGGTTGTGGGCTGTGAAATATGATCCACAGTTTATAGCCTCAAAGAAGAACAAAAAGGAAGGAAAGACAGCGATCAACCAGATCGATGACTACCTGAGTGGCAAACCTGATCTTTCTTTCTATGCTGGTGCAACCACTCCATGTCAGGTTCGCCACTACGACCACATGTTCGACCACCTGCCTCTGACTGCAATATATCTGGCTCAGGAGGGGCCCCTTTTTCTAGAATAGATTAAGACCCAGCCTCGACCTATGGGCTGCTGACTTGGGCATTGCGCCCATCTGGTGAAAACAGAGCTGAGCGCTCTTTTGCATTTGGTGTTTGTGTTTGAGCCCAACACGTTGCCACTGTGTGCCTGCTGCAGATACCCCCAAATGAATGGTTTCTAATGGAAAATCCTATTAAAATGGATGTTTTGGAGGTACCCCTATTCAGGAAACCTCCATATCAGAGTTATATAATAAAGAGTCATATAAGAGTCACATAAGTTATATTTGAAACCACCAAGCAATGGGGGTGGAATTACCAGTTACCATGCCTTGATACGTGAAAAAGGGACCCAGGTCCTCCTCGTGTGAGTACCTGGCGAGCCCCGAGCTAAGCTATAGGATAGCTAAGGTGCTGCCCCATGGGGGTAAATCCAATAAACCATCCCCAACATCACCATAAATGGATGTCATAAACCCAAATCATCCCAAATCGTAAGTTTTTATGATTGGGTTTCCCACATTATGGCTTTGTTGATGTTTACTATTGAAAATGGCAATTAATAGTGAGTTTTCCCATTAAAAATGGTGATTTCCCATAGTTATGTTAGTTGACCAGAGGGTGCCAATCATATATTGCATGCGCGGGCATGTGCATATCCCTACCACCGTATGTGTGACTGTGATGTGGCCCATCTGGATAAAAAGAGTGCACCGCTGCTCGTTCAGAGCAGTTCTGGTGGTCACGTTTCGGCCGGGTAGACACGAATGAAAAATCCTATGCATGCATGATAATTAATGCTTTTTTTTTTGGGGGGGGGGTATATATATATATATATACATATACATATAACATGTTTTGATTGTTTTTGCATATAACAAATATGTATAGGACTCTGTATATAACTATATTGTACATGAGTATATCATTATAATACACATCCGCATATACCGGGATGGTATCTTTAAGAGCCAGCGTGAGCTGTCCATTCCATAGCAGTTGAACCCAGATGATCTCAGTCCCCAAGTTCCCCAAGGTACGGGTAGCGCATCAAAATGCACTCCATGAGCGTCAAACCCAGGCTCCACCTTGGGCATAAGTGACTGGAACAGCCATTCCTGGATGATGTTCATTTCCAGTATACATGATTATACAATATTATACATAAGTATATCATAGTATATCAATGTATATCATATTTTTTTTGGATTCCCAATACTTTTTCCCCCCATATCCAATCCATATCCCAGATAGTCCCGGGTTGAAGCATACAGAACTGGAGCCATTCTCGCAGGAGAGGCGAGATAAAAAGCCACAAAGGTTTGTCTCAATAAGGCTTCATATACCCTCTGGTAAACTAACATAACTATATGGAAAATCAGCATTTTCAATGGGTAAATCCAGGAAATCCACTATAAATGACCATTTTCAATAGCAGACTGTTAGTCATTACCAGAGGGTACATGGACTAATCCACCCAGGAACGGCTGTTTCAGGTCGTGCACAACTTGCGTGAGACCAGCCCGCAGCCCTCCGTTTACTTCTCTTTGATCCAATCTTCACAGAGCTCACAGCCGGGTCCCCCAGCGTATCAGAGTTGTACTGGTAGGGCTTGCCCACCACACGTTCGGGTGACATGTAGTGGATGGTTCCAACCTCGAAACAGGTGAGCTTCCCGCACCCCAGCCCTGATCCATATAAAGGTTAACGGTTACCGTGTATATAGATATATATATATATAAGTATAGTATTAAAATTAAAATGTAATTTTCCAGTAGTCAAACATGGCAACTGAAAATCCTATATAAATTGGTAGTTTAAATCGGAAAATCACCTAGAAATGGTGGATTTTCCATTGCCGTCTTTTATATTGTTTTATCCACAAAGGGTCACAAGTATTGCATACCCTCCGCGAATGTGTAACTTAACTGGAAGCCATAGCCCATGAAAAGTTCGATGATTTGCCTCTAGTAGCAATGGTGATCTTACATGGCAAACTGTTAAAATATCTTAAAATACCAGGAGGTATTCAATCACATTCATCATGGCTTGTGGACTGGCACTATTTTCTGGACCTGTAACAGGTCCATTTTTATCCATTTTTGCTGGTGATTCCCTAGCATTGCCATCACCATGTTCATCAATTGGGGATGGGTCAAAACCTTGGTACCTAGTGAACCTCAAAATAGCTGGTAAATGGATGTTCATCCCACTATAATGTATCTATAGGTATTGACCCATACCCAATTTTCCTTGGTGCTAAAAATTCGCCCGTCTCAGCTGTCCCTCTGTCCCAGCAGCAAAGGTGACTTTGTTCTTCTGCTCGATGTCATCTTCCAGTTCACCGGACACACCGAAATCGGTGATCTTCACAATGCCCGTGGAACCTGCAACAAGATTTTCCAAGGCATGGTCCTGATGAGCCAGAAAAAGCATGACTCAGCATGACTTAAAAAAAAACAAGATAATCAAAATAAAATCAAAATAATTAATAAGATAGCTGTTCCATGGCCAAACGAAGCAGTAGCAAAGACAAATTTGATCCAGCGCAGCTCTGAAGTGAGTTGGCACCTATGGAAGATTATGGAAGGTCAGGGCAAGGTTTTGGTATGGTTTTCCTTGGTTTGTCCTTGGTTTTCCTCTCCAATCCGCAGTACGTTGTTCCTTGCCCCTTGGGCCCCCTAGCTCAGTAGCAGGTTCGAAGGCTTGATATCCCGATGGATGACATGCATCTCACCTCATGATCTCAGGGCCGGGTGCCCCAGTTCCATGCAAAATTCCAATGAGTAAATCATGGCTGGGAGCATCTCACAATCATCATCTAATAATCTAATATCTATTTGTCTGATACTGTCTGATGATCAGCATTTTGGAGGGGCTCAGCCCATCTTTTGGGACTGCAATGGGAGTATTCATCCAACAAAAAGGAGATGCTTAAGCGACAACAATTCGGTAGCAACAGGATGCAACAGGGTTTGAACGAAGTGGGGGTTGAGCCACCAAGAAAATTAGACAGTTCACAAGCATCGGATACAATCAAGAATCATGCTCCCCTATGTATGCTCCCTTACTTTTTCACTACCTGCCCTTCAAAAATGGGAATGAAGCCCGAACAATCATCGCACCCGGGGCATCATGTTTAGATATGTTTAGGGGCTTCGAGCCAATGGGTTTTGTGGGAGGTCGAAAACAGTTGGATTGCAATCCCAACTGGATAGGAAGGAAGTGCTCACAACCAACCTGATGATCCGAACATCGAGGCGAGGGCTGTGTAAGTACTCCAAACCATCTAGAACCTGCAAGCACTGAGGGTGCTAAGCGTAGTGTGCCCCAGATGGTCGGCTGCTGAAAAGCAGCCTGAAAATACTGGTCAGGAGTGTCATCCCAAAGGCTGAGAAACAAATGCTGGCTACCATCTGGTAATGACTAACATAGCTATTGAAAATGGCACATTTATAGTGGATTTACTCATTGAAAATGGTGATTTTCCAGTTCGCAAACTGTTAGTTTACCAGAGGCTAACAACCCGCGGATTTTGGGCACTGTGCCACTATCTTTTTGGTCACTGGAATACATCTGGCCAATTTGTCCTAATAATCTCTTAACCATTGAACCAATATATACATGTATATATATATATATAATTATATATATTACAAATGCATCATAACCGTGACACATAATATAAAAACAATATATATATATATACATGCATACGCAAATATGCGTATATACATATATATATATAAATACATCTCTCTCTCTCTCTCTCTTGTTCAAACATATTTGAAACCATCCGCCAGAGTTGCGCCCAAGACCCCCCAACAAAGAGCACCGCCTGCCATGTGATGTTGGCCAAGAGCCGCTCAGGGACTTGAAAGTCCGGGTTCTGAGGCCGTCGCAATTTGCGGTTGGGAAACCATGGGTTTCCAAGCGAAGAAGGGGATAGGTTGGCCATGAACCGCAGGGATAACCATGGAAAACCATTGGTGCTAACATTCAGGAAATGTCCGAGGGGGAGTAGTGGCTCCAAATGTTCAGCAGGGTAAGTTACTACCATGGGCTTGTAACGGCATGTAACGGCTTGTACCAAAGACCAGGATTCTTGTATGCGTTCCCCTGATAACCCTTGTGGGCAAAACCACGCATGGATTACGTTCCAATGTTTGGTCTGCTGCCAACATTTCGTGGCAGCTTTAGAGTAGCTCAAGATCCACTTGAGATTCCAAGTGGAGTTGCTTTGACCACAGATCTAGGGACCAGCACCAGCTCCAGCTAAGCTCCAAACTGCTTTTTTCTTGGCAGCTAGGATGGAAGACAGAGCTCCTGCATTCATGTACCTGGCGCTCTTGAAAAGGTCGTGCTCAGCAGCACCAAGCAGCAGCAAGCAGCACCACGCAATAGGTCACCATGATTCAAAACCAGAAAGTAAATTACTGTAGGATCAAACACTAATATGTATATATGTATAATTACATATATACATATATATATAATATACATATATACATATATACATACATACATATATACATATATATACATATATACATATATACATATATACATATATACATATATACATATATACATATATACATATATACATGTATACATGTATACATATGTACATATGTACATATGTACATATACATATATATATATACATAAACATTTTTCTCTCTCTCTATATATATATATTTGTATACATACGTATATATATATATATATGTATACATATCATATATAATATATACACATAACAAACCCCCTGCACACATACACACACACACGCGTATATGATCGTGTATAGATAGATAGATAGATAGATAGATAGATAGATAGATAGATAGATAGATAGATAGATAGATAGATAGATAGATAGATAGATAGATAGATAGATTAGATTAGATTAGATTAGATTAGATTAGATTAGATTAGATTAGATTAGATTAGATGAGATCAGATCAGATCAGATCAGATCAGATCAGATTAGATTAGATTAGATTAGATTAGATAGATAGATAGGTAGATAGATAGATTAGATAAGATTAGATTAGATCAAATTAGATAAGATAAGATAGATAGATAGACAGGACATGTATATGGACAATATACGTACAACGCATTTCAGGCATGCACAAGATAAAGACATATAAATACTACTTAGTGGCTTCAACCCGCCGTGACAAATGGCCAGGCCATTTAAACATGCCCCGCAGACTCCAGCGCCATGTAAATGCGATTGTCCTCGGCCATGGTGTCAGGATCCCGGTATCGGTTCCAATTCTGTTGAAATTTGGATATAGTACCTTCTGGTAAATTAACATAGACCCTGGCAGATAGGGGTTGGAAGACTAGTTTCCATTAAAAATTGGTGAATTTCAGGGTCTATGATGGTATGTTAATTTACTGGAGGGTAATCTGAATATTATCTGAATTATGAATCGACCATCATATAATATCATATATGTACACCATATACACATCTGTATACTGTACAAATCTGTATACATAATATATAATATCTCTAGCTTTGGGATATCCAGTAGTTGGCTTTGACCCACCATGAACTAAGTAACTAAGGTCCTAAGGATCACCTGGTCTCAGCAGCCAAGATTCGTGAAAGAAAGCGCCATAGTAGTCGACCTTGGACGTCATAAAGACGGTACAGTCTTTACGGAATCCCAGAACTGTGGTCCATTTCCAGCTGCAGGTGTTTCCGCATCTTTCAGAACTGTCTGCCCATTACATGTTCTCATTCAAATTTCAAATGCCCTTTTAGTATCTCGCAGTTTAGGGATCTCCCAGCCACTTGATGCCCGGAGGGTAGACGCATGTAGACGCAGTCTTTTGGGCTTTTAGAGGCTTGGAAGTGGTTGTCGGAATCACACGACGCCTGAAAGCTGTCGAAGTTTTGAAACCACCTGACAAACAACATGCAAATACAGGCTAGAACAATCTATCACAGGGTGTATTCATCCATATTCCTTATGCTCCATGTGACATGTATTAACATTTACCTATATTTACCGCAAGAATCACCGAGTTTTGAGGAAAAAATCACCTAGCACCGCCGCAGACGACGGATCTGCCAAGACGCGATGTGAGGACTTCGACACTTCGAAAAGGTCCTGGCGTCACGAGGGCCGATTGGCAGGATTCCTGAAGCCTCATCGATGATAGCGTGCGCGCATATATATATATATATATAAATACATGATATATTAATATATATAAATAAATATGTGTGTGTGTGTGCGTGTGGCGTGTGGTATGTACAGTGCATATATATATATATATACACTGAGTGGCCGACCAACAGTGAGTGAAATGGACATTTCCTGCAATTTCAAACTCGTTCTACTTAGATGGTCATATGAATTGCGACATGCACAGACTACGTGGGGTGACTCTGAGCGTATGTCCTCATCACTAAACCTCACAAGCCCTCTCTACATTCATCAGATTGCTTTAAGGGAAAAACAGCTGGAGTTGTTCAAAAATAAATTGGAAAACACCAGTTTCCGCTCGGGTTTTCTTGAACATATCCCAATATATCCACCTCGCACAGTTACGATCAATTACACACTCTCCAGTTTGACGACTGGTGGTTTCAGTCATGGGAGTATACCCCAAACCATCTACAGACCATTCGTATTGAATCTATGGTGACGACTCCGGCCGGTGCCTCAGTTCCAGCAAGATCGCCTTGCGTTGGGGCTCGGCAATGTCTCCGGCCTGGCGACTCTCAACGAAAATCGGGGGGTCTATACGGGGCAGCCGAGGTGAGTTGGTGGGTTGTTGTTGTTTTTTTAACATGTTATAGCTACAGGGGATCAAGGACTCATGGTGGATATTGATATGGATAGAATTAGTTGGGCTATCTAGGATTCATAGATATTCATAGTGGATCTGGATGTCAAAAATTTGTCAGTTTATTAAACTTATGTTAGTTTGGATATTGATATGGGGATTCAACCTTGAATAAAACTCATCGTGAACTCCTCTGGTAATTTGATTCGCGAGGTTTAGCCAGCCCATATGCCATGAAAATCATCCCCAATCCATTCGCAAGGGGATGATGCTTAAAATAAGCCCCAAACGTTTGGGTAATGGGATGGTCCGATGGTTGTTTTATTGGGAAAGGATCAACTATTTAGATGGGATATTGATGGGATATTGATGGGATATTGATAGGAAAGCAACTTACAACTTGGCAGGCCCTTCCAAGTTGCCTCTGGTAACGATGGAAAACTCTGACTTACATACAACTAGAATCAGCTAGATAACTGCCCCATGCTTTCCCACGAATTTGAGGACTTCCCTCTGCCATGTTGAATACCAAAAGGATCTAAAATGTATGTAATGTCAACCCCCGATCAAGAAACCTTGGCTGCAGGGTTTTTGCCAGGACAATGCATTTCCAAGTGTCCAAAAGTGTCCAAACCGAAGCTCACCAAACAGTGAATTTGCTGCTTATTTGAACATGACTCAAACTCCCAAAGCTATTCACTTCAATCATGATCAATCATGATCCCAAGAAGAAAGGGGTACACTTGAATCCAGCAAGCAATTTGACGAAATTGGATTTGCGCCCCGTGTTTGTGGCATAACGGCATAAACCATTCCAAAACTAAAAAAAACGAAAACATCTGAAATCCCAGTGGTTTTGGGTGGTAGACATGACAGAACAGTGTTCTTCATCTCCATCTTCACCTGGTGAACAGACGGTTTTCCACCCAGCTAGATTCATCTTTGGTACCTGCATGATCTTCAAAGCCAGCTCGCGTCCGCTGGGAACGTGGCGATGCTTTTCCTGGCGTGGCCGGCGGGGGCGGTTCAAACATTTGTTCATCTAGTCAATGATGGGATCATTCATAAGCCTTAACAACAGATTTATAAACTTAAATAGTATATAATAGATCAATAAATTTGATCAATATAATTATGGACTTGAAGAGTCAAAAACCAGTAAGAACATGTAAGAAAAAAACACATAGATGTACATTGGGACATGTTGGAATATATTGGACAACATTCACACGAGTTGTTCAAATGATGAAGATTGTGAGGCAGCATTTCAAAGTAGGTCATTCATCATGTATCACCCAAGCAAACCCCCGCTGTAGCAACACGCGAAGACTCCATCGTTGGGAGATTAGATTTTACTCAGCATCCCTAGTGATACAACACTTCTTGGCACAGCTAGCACCGTTTTAAAAAAATGCGGGGTGAGGAATCTGGAATTATGATTTGCACTTGTTTTTCGCCCATTTTGAGGCAGTTCGTTCAAGGTTCGTTCAAGTTGCCACATGTTACTAAGCACAACTATCTATTGAACAAATATGACGCAAACGCTCTCTTTTCAGATGCTGTCGAAGGTGATTTGAAGCTGCACGTTGGGACACAATTTCCTGAACTGCACCTGAGAAAGTCGATGCGCACAGTGGCTCAGCCCAGGGGTTCCCATAATTGTATATTGACTAATGGATGGTATAAACCCATCCCCAACTGGTGGGTTTTGTATTTGGCGCACCACATTCTACCAAGTCTCTATTGACTATATACCCATTCTATATCATTCTATTGTTACTATTGTTCGTATGCCTTGTCTAGATAGCTGCTACAAGTATGACAATGTCAAAAGCGATAGATAAGTGATTCCCCCTCTTCTTGACGATGATAAATGTATCTCTCTCTCTCTCTCTCCCTCGTATGCTTATGCCTGTTTTCCGGAGATTCCATGAGATTCCCGTGTAGTATCTCCATCATTCCATTTTGGATCCACCCATCATGCTGGGTAACCCTCCTTTTTTGGGGGGTGCAACTCGTCAACCCCGGATGAATCCACCCCAGCGGGATCATGGGAGGACACCCCCACTTGTGGGCGCCCTCTAAATGTCCCAAAAAGTGCGAGCTACTTCGTCCCATGAAACTGGCCCAACTGTTGGTTTATAGCCGGTGAACCATCCCCGGCCGCGATTTGGGATGTTTTTCCTGACCAAATGGTACTGTCATTGGCATGGAAACGATCATTCCGTTTACCCTAAACTCAATGGATTGGTTTAAGGGAAAATCTACAGGAAACCATGGTTTTTACCATCAAATATAGGGCTTTCCTGTAAATTTTCCCATCATCCAGTTCTATGATAAACCCTTCAGCAAACTAACAGAACTATGGAAAATCAAGACTTATCACTTCTTACATTTCGATGTCTAAGTCATCAAATTCAATTGGGCAATCTTGGGCAATCTGGATCCATCTAGGTCATCTATACAGATCTATACCAAATTCTCTATAGCAAAGTGTTACCATTTGGTAATTCAACATAACAATGGAAAATAGATGAACATGGTCCATTTACATCCATTTACCTACTAAAGTGCGTTGTTCATCGATTTTCTGTAGGAAACTGTGAAAAAAATCACCAGAGGCGACCACATTTTCCAGCCGCCCCAACGATGCCCCAGGAACCATGGCCCACACGCAGCTGAGGCATGGCGTGTGCGTCACGTGCAGCCGCAGGTGCCCCGTGATCTCAAGGCCACGGGCGTCCGCAGAGGAGAGGCCCAGGGTGGAGAGAACGGAAGACCTGAGAGACGATGGGCGTGGAAACCACCAAGAATCAGGGATTCTATGGGATTTTGATGGACTTGTTCTGTTATTTTTTATGGGATTTGGGGGGGATTATAGGATTTTATTTTTTCTTTTTTTGGTGATTTTATATGGGATGTTATATGATCTTGAGCGCCAACCATATTCAAAACTCAAGATCTAACTGATTAAATTAAGAAAACTGGGGATCCAATCACCAAATAGGACCCCAGCTTACTTCAGCATAGATTGGTCTTAAGAGAAAATCTACGTCGAATCTACGTTTTTCACCATGGCCCTTCAATTCTGGAAAGGTGCCCAGTGGGGAACCTATCCTCCTAATGGATCCAATTCAGGAAATAGGTTTTAATCAATGGGAGATCTTCAGGATCCTAAAATGGAGGTACGTTAGTACCATATAAGGCCATATTTTGGGGGTATATCCCCCTACATAGGTCTTACATAGGCCTTATATATGGTAGGTACCTCCAATTTAGGTTCCTGAAATGGCCATTGACTTAATGACTGAATATACTTTTGTTGTGAATGCAAAGGGTCCTGGATCATCTGGGTCTTTTTGTCGGATCCCCAGATGCTCCATCTATGGCATATTTACCTACATTTGGGTGTTTTTTGGAGAAAATGTTGATAACTATTCCAGCACCATGGAGCATATGGCATTGACTACCACTGACTGGTGCCATTGTTTGGGGGGTCCCCCCACCCTGTTTCAACACCTGCAAGGCCAGCGCAGAACGCCAAGCATCAGTGCGAGAAACTCTGCATCACGGTGACGAGAAAAGCGCAGCGACACTGCTTGAAGGGGCGATCCTGGCTTTTGGAGGACCAAAGACTTCAAAAATCCAATTGGGTATGGGTCAAAATTGGGTACAGTACCCTAATAAATGAGACATAATTAGATGGTTAATACTGAATATATACCAAAATCTGTGGTCCCATAGTTGCTAATTTTTGACCCATACCCAATTTCCACCCTGTGGTAAATATACAGTTTGACCCTGTTTTTTTTTGGTCGAAACCAATCTTCCAACCCCTATCCAGCAAGGATGAAACTGAGAATTTACTGGAGGGCAATTGCAACAACCTGAAGTATTTCAGCAAAAATGAACTTCACTAAGAAAGAAATACCTTTTCAACCTCGGTTTGAAGATGCACCCTTGGACTACAGGAGGGTCCCGTACAATTTCAATGACCCAGCTAGCAATTGCTGGGCATGATGGTGTGACTTCAATTTTAAAAGAATGGTCCTGCTTGTGCATTGCCGGGAAGAGTAGGTACAAGCAAAGCACATATCCTCCATGTGCTATGTTACATACAGGGGCCATGATAAGCAGATATTACCACGCAAAGGAGGCAGCCTATGAAGTTTATGCGTTCAAGTATGGAGTCTAAGAAACATAAAACTGCCCAGAAAAACGATCTTCCCTACTGGTAGCTGCACGGTTTGACGCCTACGCATCCATTCCGTGGACGATCGAATTTTGGAGATACGATGGGGCCAGCATGATGAGCTGTTTATGCCATTGGTGCACATATCATAATCATGCACAGCACATAAGCAATTCTAATCTGTCATGTCACGTGAAAAGAAAATAATACACGCAATCCTCCGATAATCAAACATGGCAAAGGAACATAATCACCCATGTATAGATGATTCTCCCATTTCAAAACCTGTATTTATATGGATTTCCCGGCTAGACATGACAGATTACCAACGAGTTAGCTCATTGGCTGGGAGGTTGGTAAACTATGGTGGTTCAGCCAGTCAATGTGGGTGTTGCCCATGGGGGAATTGGATAGATCATGGATCATGTAGCTTCTATGGCTGACCTTCCCAAGATCACAAGATTTTGCGATCTACCTTTGAGTAGCAGCTGTGGTGCTAGGGCGTCACGTTGTTTCTATCTTTCTCACAGCTATAGATGATTATCCAATATGCTTCCAATATTCAGTCGATCCCGGGTCTCCCATTTTTTGCCCCTATCTTATCCCAAGTTGAGGTATGAAAAATACATAAAAATACCCTATTCTATCACTTGATACTGATTGGTTGAGAAGGGAATTCTAAAAACAGGATTATGATAATCCCCAAGGTATTGGTTATTATTGTAACCCAATATTATCGTTTTGTTAGATCATTATTTCCCTATGATAATTCCTCTGGATTATCATAACAGATCAACAATCATTCTACTGGTTGGTTCATGGAGATCCTTAGAGCCTTAGAGTGGATTACGAGAATCCCTATTCTTTTTTGGCTTAGTAACTTAGTATAATCAACTAGAGATGGATTATCTATCAAACCCATAAAACTTATCGTGGATTATCGAATGATATGCTAAGATTGATTATACTAATCTCTTAGTTATAATCCCCCATTGTAGCAAATCATCCATGGTATTTTTCATGGCTCATGACTGGCGGAGATCTCCGTCGTCCTTCCGAAGCAGAGCCGCTGGCCACGATTCGGCCCGTCTCCGCCAAGCTGTGCTCGCCCTGCTGCAGGCTGTAGGAAACCTGGATCTGGAGGCCAAAACAAATGGCAACCCGGATGGTGCCCTAAAATAACTTGGGCTGGATGTTGATTCCCCAAAATGTGGGAACAATATATATATATATAGATATATAGCATATATATATATATATAGCATATATGTTTTGACATGTTTTGACCCCCAGGAATCTGATGGGAACAGAAATATAGAACTGCTTGAGTATATCTTGGTGTAAAAAATATGGTTAAATCACTAATTATATACACTAGATGATTTGGGGGTGTCCTAAAATGGGGGTACCCCAAGTCACCACGGGTTTCAAGACTATAGGTCATGATCTAATGACTTGGATGATGACTGGCTTAGGAAACCTCCACAATGTAGATATAGAACTGTTTGGTATAAGATGTATAAGATATATAAATCCAGTATACAGATGTATACTGTATATGTACATGAGCGCCGATTGTTTTATACAGTAATATACAGTAGTAGATTGAACTAGGGTCTCTTCCGGTAGTTTGTTACCACTTCCATGGCATTGGGGGCCTACTCTCTGACAGATAAAACTGGAGGTCGCCGTCCCAAGCTTCACCAGGGGTCCAGAACCCTCTCCATCCACATCCGAGTTGGAGGTTTATCTCCAGAAATCACCAACAATCAATCTGAGTTTGTCTGATGATGGGCTGTTATATATATATATATGTGTGTGTGTGTTCCAGCGTATATATATATATACAGAATATATATATATATACACTCCCTCCCCCCCCAAAAAAAAACACATCAAAATGAAACCAATTGGGAGGGTATGGGCTCCATTTTCGGACAAACCCAATCTGAATGGTAAACCAAGCAACCAAACATAAAACCTGACCGAAAGCTGCCATTTCGCCCAGCTCATCCTTGGTTTTGAGGTTCTGTTGCTTGAAGAAAAGATTGATACAGCAATGACAGGCGGTCATGGTTGCAGCTGCAAGCAGGCAATTTGCAGCTTTAACCACTGTCAAGTTTTGAATTGCAGCTGGTCTAGCTCAAAGACCCATGCTAACAACAATGTCGTGTCTTGGAGACATCTAAACACAGCAATATATAATGAATGCGTCGAAGGCCGGCCTCCATTTGAGCAATCTAGTGTAGTATGTTTGCTATTGCCGGTCACAAAACACTTGCCCGTCTGGGGTGGCTTCAGTCAAATCGCCAATGACATTGTTAATGCTACGTATGTAATTTCTTGTTTTCTTAAATAGTTTTTTGTGCGCTTCCAGCCCCTTCATAAACCAAACCAGGATCATTTCAGGATCGCTGAATTTGAGATGGGAAGAGTTGAAAACGAATGTCAGTCAGCTTGGGTGCGGCCACTACATTATATCATTATAACATATTATAACTCCGCTGAAAGAAATCCCACCTCAGCCTGACCTCAGGCCAGAAAAATTGTGAGGTATTCCATGGTATTCCATGTCCTATGGTCCAACATCGTCCAACATCGTCCAACATCGTCCAGGCTCTGCTGGAGGCGGTCCATCCACCACCCCCAAGCGTCGCAGCAGGGACGATGTACGCATCCCCAGACTGGTGAGGCCGAGGCCTCGCAGCTTCTCAGCCACGTCCTCGCCCTGGCAGCACCCCGGTGACCCGGTGATGGAGGAAAAAAAACATCCGGTGATGGACAGAAGAAACGATACCCTCTGGTAATTTAACATAGCTATTGAAAATGGCAATTTATAGTGAGTTTTCCCATTAAAAATTGTGATTTTCCATAGTTATGTTAGTTTACCAGAGGGTATGCCAAAAAAAAGGGCAACATGTATGGCAACTGGACTAACTGGACATTTCCACCTTGATGTGACCATTGATATCCATTGATATCCATTGATATCCACTACTATCCACTTATATTCAACAAGTGGCTCTTGTCGGGCTTCAATAGTCCCCTCTCATTACCCCAGAAAGCTCTCTTTTGCGCTCAAACTCATGACCCCCCATTCAACCTCTGGACGATTTAGAGGAAAAAAACATATTATATATGATATATCATTATTATTATTATTATTAATTATCATTATCATTGGCCGAAACCCACTGGGTTTAGCGCCTCCAGGGCTTGAAGAGTCTGGTCCTCCAAGTGCTGCAGTGACTGCTCCAACTGTGGCACCAGATGGCCCACTCGTTGCAGGTGATCACCTCGGTACTGATCTAAGTGATGATGGTACACTAGGTGGTGCCCCATATTTAGCTAAGTTGGTTTATAAGTCCAATAATTAGGGTTTATGGGGGTTATATCTATAGTTAATGGGGATTATAAACCAACTTATAACTGGGGGGCACCACCTTACAGCTGATGGTACAGCTGATGGTACAGCTGAGCAACTCAACTGCACAATGGCATCCGGTGATAGCGCGTTCTTCTCTTGCAGTCTTGCAGCCTGTTCTGCGATCCTGGGCGTGGCATTGAGGAAGTCGTCGTGTGTTTGTTTCATCATGTTTCATCCATTCGTTTGAGTGGTTGGATTGATATCGACCATGAATTTCCTATGGGAAATCAGCCAGGCTCTCTTCTCGTTCCCAAACATTCCAACATACCCTCTGGTAATTTAACATAGCTATTGAAAATTGCTAATCCCTTCCTCCTAATACTAAACGTCCCCCTAATACTAAAAACAGGCATCCATCTCCAATTTCCGAAAATTTCAGTTTGGCCAATTTGACTTTTAATTGATCCCCTTTAAAAAACAATTTAAAAATCAACCTACCATTTGTGGGTTCTCCCCCCTAATACTAAAAACTAGTTCACCCCGGGGTGTTTAGTATTAGGGGGGCCTAGTCCCAATCCCTCACTCCAAGCTGCCTGGCTACTCTAGCAATTAGGGGTAAGCTTCGAACTGCCATTTTTGGCAATATTTTAATTGCGTTATATAAGGAAATTTAATTGATTTTGAGATCGGAAAAAATAGTTTTTAGTATTAAGGGTTTTAATTTAGTATTAGGGGTAAGCTTCGAACTGCCATTTTTGGCAATATTTTAATTGCGTTATATAAGGAAATTTAATTGATTTTGAGATCGGAAAAAATAGTTTTTAGTATTAAGGGTTTTAATTTAGTATTAGGGGTAAGCTTCGAACTGCCATTTTTGGCAATATTTTAATTGCGTTATATAAGGAAATTTAATTGATTTTGAGATCGGAAAAAATAGTTTTTAGTATTAAGGGTTTTAATTTAGTATTAGGGGTAAGCTTCGAACTGCATTTGTGGCAATATTTTAATTGCGTTATATAAGGAAATTTAATTGATTTTGAGATCGGAAAAAATGGTTTTTATTATTAAGGGTTTTAATTTAGTATTAGGGGTAAGCTTCGAACTGCCATTTTTGGCAATATTTTGGTTCCCTAATAATAAATACCCCCCTAATACTAAAAACTACTTGCCGTGTTTTGTATTAGGGGGGGTGGGGTTTAGTATTAGGAGGAAGGGATTATTTATAGTGGATTTTCCCATTAAAAATTGTGATTTTCCATAGTTATGTTAGTTTACCAGAGGGTATTCCTCAACTTCTGTTGCTGGTTCCTGATTTATTCTCCTCAGTTTGGCAATCAAACAATCACATCTGGCGATGGAAATTCAGTCAAACCTAGTTTTTTTGTTACCAGAGGGCACCTGCCCCTGCCATACCCAAGATATTTAGATGAAAAACACACGATGTTCAACGATGTTCAGATGTTCGACCCAAAAAAAACGGGAGAAACTCAAGGCAACCTGGTGACTCATACCGCCCCACCCCTGCCTGGCTGCCAGCATCTCATCTTCTTCTGTCAACGAGGAGCTCAACATCGACAGCTCCTGAGAACCCAGCCGATTTGAACCCAACTTGTTTGGGTATAGTTTATGACACCACTCTAAAATGGTATGTCTGGGATTGTCTGGGTGGATTTTTGTGTTTGCCATCCACACTGTGTGCAGAAGTTCTGTCCTTTCCCTCCAGTTGATCCACCCGCGCCACAGCTTGATGTCTCAGCCGCCCCAGAATCTCAGAGCCACGTCGCAGATGACGCCGTTCCAAGGTAATGGCCATGGCCCATGCGGCGGAAGCCATCTCCTGCCCCCAAAAATCAGTGAAAACCAGGGCCTTCTCACGGTTGCGTTTGTTGATTGTATAAATTGAAAGGAGAAGAAACCATAGTCATGGCATATAGAATTGCAAGGGCACTGTCACAAACTTTTTTGAACTCATCTCGCTGAATCATGCTGCTTTACCACGCAACTGGGTTCCATTACAACCATTACAATGACCGGCTTGGGACAGGCGACTGCACCTTCATCCTGACTCAGCATTTGCAAGGGAAAAAACAACCTTGCCAGTATAACTCCTATGATAACGTTGAGTTGTTGTCTTGTGTCATTGTTTTGTTTTGTTTGTCATTTTTCTGCCGTGCTGTTGTCATGCTCCTTTGGGGACGGGGTTGTCCGCTAAGGAAAGAAAAACCTGAAACCAGAAACGACACAAAACATGACCTCACAAAACAGGAATGACAAAACCATGGCGACAAACCCCAAAACTCTCTGACAAGGCTTCAGTCGAGAGTCTATGGTCAAAAAAAAAATAACCACCAAAAATCTCATTCTCCCCTTTGGTTTTCCAGCAACATATCCAGCCTGGTTTTCCAACCCAAACACCCTCCATGGTTTCACCGGTCATGGCCCGCCATGGCCAACTCCAAAGTCCTGTGGCTTCCACGGCCCAAAGTCGCGCACCGCAGACTTGGGCAGCGCCTCCAAGTGCCGAAGGAGGCGCTCCAGGTGGTCTGCCTGAGCCGTCACCTGCAGGGGCGGCTCACCCAGCTCCCCAAAAAAGCTCGAAATATTAGCTTCTACTGGCCACAGGCCAAATATACATGCATATATATAATTATATATATATATATATCGTGTGAATATGTATAGATATATAGAGAGAGATGGATATATAGATATTTAGGTAGATAGATGAAATTAGATAAAATCTGATTAGATAAGATGAGATTAGATATGATTAGGTTCGATGTGGATCTAGACTAGATTAGATTTAGATAAGATTAAATTAGATTTAGATCTGGATTAGATTAGATAGGTTAGTTGGATGAGATAGGTTAGATAGATTAGATAGATTAGATAGAAGGGCTAGATTAGATAGATTAGAAGATGGAATAGATAGGTTAGATAGGTTAGATAGGTTAGATAGGTTAGATAGGTTAGATAGGTTAGATAGGTTAGATAGGTTAGATAGATAGATAAGCTAGATAGATAGATAGATGGATTAGATTAGATTAGATAAGGTAAGATAAGATAAGATAAGATAAGATAGATTAGATTAGATTAGATTAGATTAGATTACATTAGATTAGATAGATAGATAGATAGATACATAAATAAATATATAGATAGATAGATAGATAGATAGGATAAGATAGATAGGATAAGATAGATAGGATAAGATAGATAGGATAAGATAGATAGGATAAGATAGATAGGACAAGATAGATAGGATAAGATAGATAGGACAAGATAGATATGATAAGATAGATATGATAAGATAGATAGGATAAGATAGATAGGATAAGATAGGATAGGATAGGATAGGATAGGATAGTATAGGATAGGATAGATCGATAGATCGATAGATCGATAGGTAGATAGATAGATAGATAGATAGGATAAGATAGATAGGATTAGATAGATAGGATAAGATAGATAGGATAAGATAGATAGGATAAGATAGATAGGATAAGATAGATAGGATAAGATAGATAGGATAAGATAGATAGGATAAGATAGATAGGATAAGATAGGATGGTATAGGATAGGATAGGATAGGATAGATCGATAGATCGATAGATAGATCGATAGATAGATCGATAGGTAGATAGATAGATAGATAGATAGATAGATGAGATGGATAGAATAGATAGAATAGATAGAGTAGATAGAATAGATAGAATAGATAGAATACATAGGATAGAATAGAATGGAATAGAATGGAATAGAATGGAATAGAATGGAATAGAATGGAATAGAATGGAATGGAATGGAACGGGATGGAAAGGATAGGTAGATCGATTGATCGATAGATAGATAGGTTAGATGGGTTAGATAGACTAGGTAGACTAGGTAGATTAGATATATAGATTAGATAGATTATATAAATTAGATAATAGATTAGATAGATTAGATGGATTAGATAGATTAGATAGATTAGATACAGATTAGATAGATCATATAGATTAGATAGATTGGATAGATTAGATAGATTGGATAGACTAGATAGACTAAATAGACTAGAAAGCAAAGATATATTTGAAAGATTAGAAATATTAGAAATAATGGAAAGATTTGATTGATTTGATTGATTAGATTAATTAGATCGATTAGATTGGTTGGATTCAGATTGATTAGATTGATTAGATTAGATCGATCGATAGATAGATAGATAGGTGGGTAGATGGATAGATGGAATATGGATAGACAAATATATAGATATATATATGAATATGCATACGCAAATATAGATACAGAGGTAGATACAGAGAAAGGTATACAGGTAGTGACATAGATAGATAGAACAAATAGATTCAAAGATCGATAGCTTCATAGATAGCCAAATAATGTACACCGATAAGTGTCCTGGTACCCTACTGTGAATTTTTTCCTGACTAATTGAGAATCCTGCCGTTTGTTGGGGGCGGGGCTCTATTGTGAGAAGTTTTTTCTCAGATCCAATTTAACAGGAAAATCAATTGAAAGTAGGTTCACATGAATTGAAAGTAAAATGATTTCAATTGAAATCCTTTCTTATCAATATGTTTTGATGTTTAAAAGGAAAATCAATTGAAAGTAGATTCACATGAATTGACAGTAAATTGATTTCAATTGAAATCCTTTCTTATCAATAGATTTCTTTGAGGTTTTTAAGGGAAATCAATTGAAATTAGATTCACATGAATTGAACATAAATGGATTTCACTTGAATTCCTGTCTTATCAATAGATTTCTTTGAGCTTCAAAACGAAAATCGATTGAAAGTAGATGGATTTCAATTGAAGCCCTTACTTACATAAGTTGATCATCCTGAGTCCCCCAGACCTGGTCCCCAAAACAATGGCGAGTTATTGAGCGTACTAAATTTGTTTGGGGGGGGGGCCCTACACTAATCAGCGTCCAACATTAGATAGATTGATAGACAAATAGGCTTTAAAATTTTAAACCTATTATATATAATGTGGGTAAAACATGGTAAAACAATGTCATAAACCACCCATTTGGGAATGGTAAACATACGGTAAACATACCACCTATAAACATTGTGATGACTGGGGGATGGTTCGTGGCATTGTTTTACGCGCATTATATCTATTACCCTCTGATAATGACAAACATAGCTATTGAAAATGGCCATTTATACTTGATTTATCCATTCAAAATGGTGATTTTCTAGTCAGTTATGAATATTATCCATTAAAAATGGTGATTTTCCATTGGACATGGTGATTTTCTTGATTATTCCGTACTTATTTAATTACGTAAACGTTTACCAGAGGGCCAGAGGCTATCATTCTGAATCTCACGACCAGCAAAAACCACCCAGACGCCAAAGGGCCGCCAGGGACCAGAAGACATTGGCGCATTCCTGGGCACCAAACCTCGGCTCCGTCGACCGTGGTGCCGTGGTGAAGTCTGAAGCCAAAACACCAAGTCATTCGGGAAATGTGACCATTAGTGATGATTACATTAGGGAAAAACACCAAGTCATAAAAAATCATCTAAAATTTTCCAGTGACCAAATGTGATGATTTTACCATAGTCTTGGCCACTGGACATTTTAGATGATTTTATGATGATGATTTGTTACATTCTGAGTTAGTTTACTGGTGGAGTAAAGATATGAATACAGTTTGCAAATGAACAATTACTTTGTGGTTCTCATAAAAACATCATATGCAGCAAGAACATAGGTCATGGATGTGCAGCCCACTTTGTACGTTGCTTAAGAGACATTGTTTTCAAACCCACATATGGCTGGTTTGCTTCCCACATAAAACTAGCTCGTCATATCACAGCCAATCTTAGATACCCTGCCAAAAAAAAAAGTTTTGGGTGGGTGAGTATCCTCATGTATGGCAAAAGAAGATCAATGATTCTTTTGCATTGGACTATCAATCCAAATATTGCTACCAGGTGTAGTACATACAGTAATTTCCCTATAAAACTAGTAGTTCAGGGGCATCTCCCCGAACTAACCGGGACCCAACTCGAAAAACGGTAAGATTCGTGGTTGGCTAAACCGAAAAATTTTCCGAGGCTTACCCTTGAAATACAACTTTATGGTTTTAGGTTGAGTCACTTCTCAAGTTCTCAAGTCATTTCCTTATATTTATGTATATTTATGATCCACATCTATCTGAGATATGCACAAAAATCACCCCTTCCTGCTGGCATGCGAAACTCGGATGCTCGTTCTGGAAGCTCCTCTAAAAGCCATGAAGGCATAGAAGCCTCGGCAAGAAATGGCTAAAGGGTAACCCCAAAAAAAAATGCCGAAAACGATTTTCAGGATGCTACAGGTGATTTTTGTTCTCCATAGTCTTCCAGTTTTCCCACGTTTCTTTGGGGGGGGCATCTACCTGGGGGTGATTGTTTTTTTTTTTAAATAATGGGTATAATTGTATAACTAATGTAGCAACCTTCATCAGATCAAATATAACCCGTAGACCTATGGTCATATAACCCACTTATTGGTGGACCCGCAAAAGTATTTACCGATACACTGGTCCCATCAATAGTTAACGAATGGCAAAAATCCTTCCCCAATGGTCCAATGATTGATGATTTTCATCCAATGATCCGTCCAAAATTGGATAGAAAGGCAAGAATCAATCCTTAAGCCTTAAGTAGTTGCGGAATAGTGTGCCATTCAAACAGCTTGCTACCAGCAAAGATCAGCAGAGTATGGTACTGAAAATAAAAACCAGTATATTTGCTATGTACTGTTACAGTTAAAATCCATCTTTTACAGCTTACAATAAAAGTAGCCTTTATAAACCCTAACATATCCACAATGGTTCATAATCAAGTTTTGATTGTAAAGAAAAATTCGAAGATGCAGGAACTAGACGAACTAGCAACTGTTGAAGATTTCTAGAGTCGGTTTCTGGTAGCTATTGAATCCATACAATGATATGTTTCATTTTGGGGGTGCGAGTTTGAGATGTTTAAGCCACACCATGCCACACCCATTCAATTTTGGAAGAAGCACATGTGAACCAAATGCAGCAGCCTTTTTGCACTTCAAAATTAGCCTCCAAATTTTGGGATGGTCTGCTGTTAGGCAATGTTTGCTCATCTGGGCCATTTATTACATGAAGCACGTAGTTGTGATGATTACCCTGTTGCAGCATCATTTGACCAATTCTACCCATCCAATCATGGATTCTCTCCCAACTTCACCATCCAGTTGCTACTTTAAAAGTCTACTTAAAAGTGAAGTTTCAAGACCATCCCATTTTATCATATGTTTTTTCAACCATTTTTGGCAAAAATCCTGGTGTCCAACCTAACCTCACCATGCCGCATGCCGTGCATGTCCCACCTGAACGGTGGCCACGGACCAGGACATGTTCGCCACCTCCCGCGCCTTGAAGTCGCTCATGGGATGTTGCTCCACCTGCAAAAACCACAGGTTGTCATCAAACGTGGCTGGGAAAATCTCCGCTTCTGCAGGTTTTCATGGGGAAATCATCTGTAATCAATGGGAGATCTTCAGGATCCAACAGATGGAGGTACGTTAGTACCATATGTTTGGCCATATTTTGTGGTGATATTCACTTACATAGGCCTGAAAAATAGGCCTTGTATATGGTAGGTACCTCCATTTTAGGATCCTGAAATTCCCATTGATGTAATGACCATCTTTTTGGAATTGTCCATCATGTTTGATTGCCACAAAGTCATCATCCCCTCCTCAACTCTGGTAATTGTGAAATATGATGATAGTGTATGATACAATGTGATGCCCCGCAGTGAAGTGTGTGTTGGTTTTTACCCCCATTGACCAGTTCGATAGATCTACCATAATCATTCCATAAACCCAACTGAAAAAAATGAAATCACGGAAAAACAACTTAGCCAACTATAATAATAACTATAACCATCACCAAAAATGGATCTACCGTAACCATTCCATATAGAGCTCTACATAAACTTGGCCAACTATGGGGAACCACCGAAACCACTGGAAGCCCCAGACCGACCTGTTGAAGAACTTCGCGATACGTCCGCTTGGGCACGGCTAAGCCTTCCGACTCCAGGGCTGCAAAGGACCAAAGCCTCAATTGCCAAGGCGGATGGATTTCGTGCAAAGTTGGTCGACAAATTTTGCAGTTAAACATGGGGATGCAACAACTAAAGTTGGGATCTAATCAACAAAGATGGGGGTTTAACCAACAGGAGTTCTGATTTAAGCAAGAGACAAATCAAGTGAAGTAAAGCACCATAGATATTTCATGATATTTCGAATCTCCCATGTTTGGCCTGTTAGATCTACAGCATCCTACCGTCCTAGTTATTTCAACTAACAAAGTGTCTGTCCACTGAGTCGGCTCCGCTCTAAAAAAATTACGGTGAGCGAAAGCCAGTGATAAATACCATCCCCAAGTGCCCCCGAGATACTAGGAGCATAACATGTGAATAAAACCACCCTAAAACCTGGGTTTTTATCATGATTTATCATGATTTATCACGATTTATCATGATTTATCATGATTTATAGGGGCATTCTATGGCATTCTGCATCCTGGACCATACCTCAAACTGTGGATGTACCCTGTTTTCTTTAAGCCTCTATTTTGGATGGTTGAATATAGTCAAACATGACTTTTGCCGCCCAGGCTAACCACGCGTGGTACTGATTACCATATTCTCGGATTCGCCACATGACCATGTTATTGATAGTGATTACCACATTTACCATGCTAGTATCAGGTTGCTTGCCATTGTATTGACAATAATCATACATCATATGTAGTAACTTAACCCCCACCCCTCCAAACAAAAAGAGGAGCCGTCTTCGAGGACGCCACATAAATGATATTTTCCGGCTTTTCGATCTATGACTGGGTTGCTCTAGACTCTAGATGATCTCCCGGTGATCCTCCAAATAACTTCCGATCCCATCATTGCTGGTTAAACCACCATTTTCCACCATTTTCATTGGTGAGTTTCCTATGTCTGTTGGTAAAACCTCAATTCCTGATGAATCAAGCCACACTTTCTCATGGTGAAATTCTCATGTGTCATGATCAAATCACCACATGTCATGGGTTCGAACCTTGAAAAACTCATTTAACCCGAATCCCTTGTAATTTCACCATTTCCCTCAAATAAAACCACCATTTTCCCTGGTTCAACCTCCATATTCCCCCGGTTTTTCGATGATCCCCAGTTTCGACCAGGCGCATCATCGCCAAGCCCTGCGGCGTCACCTCCGGCAGCCTCAGCAGCAGTGGCTCCCAGAAAACCTGCCGCGTGAAGGGCGACAAAGGCAGCTGGGCGCCGGAACGTTGCGCCCAGGCCTGGGGACTGCCATGCCCATAGGATCCATGGTGCTTGGATCCATGGCACACCATATATAGCAGCACCATGGATCCTACGGGATGGTGCTGAGAGAAACGACGCATGGAAAAGATGGGGATGGCTTTGCGCTTTGCCAGGTGGAAACAGCCGGAGAGATGTCAATATAAATACGTTGTGCGCATGTTACAATAATAGTAAGAAAAAAGGATCTAGCAGAATCTAGCACAAGATTGGCCAAGAAAATCCAAACAGCGTCCGTTGCAGCCCTAAGAATTCACTTCTTTGATGATTGAACCATGCCACACACCTATGATTCATGATCAAAACCTACAATTCATTAAATGTAAGTTCCAAACAAAAATCGACATGCTTAGATCCTAAGACTTACCGTTAGTTGCGCATTCCATTTACCCTCTGGCAATCTACCATAGATATGGAATGCTATGGACATAACCTGCATGTTTAATAGGTTGACCATCTAGAAACAGTCATTTTCCATGGCTATGTTAGATCACCACCGAGGAACCAAGGACCACAGCAGCACCGGCAGGTCACGTCCGGGCGCGCTTTCAAGGCCCAAATCAAAGCTGCGGCGGAGGATTTGGGCCATGACGGCCTGGGAGGAACCCATCCAGTCCCGAAAATTCATTGGTGGAATATGGTGGAATGCGAATGAAGCCATCTGGTTGGTGGCTTCAACCCCTCTGAAAAATATTAGTCGGTTGGGGTGATTATTCCCAATATATGGAAAAATAAAAAATGTTCCAAACCACCAACCAGCCATAATATTCCATAGGATCCATGGTGCTGCTATATATGGTAACATGGATCCCATCAATATACCCCCAATGTTAGCATATATACCAGCACCATGGATCCTATGGGTATTGATTATCATGTAATATGAATAATCATCGATATGAGTGAATATTATTACATATTGGTGGAATGTATATAATATATATATATATTGTAGAAACAAGTGATCAACCACAACAGACCACAAAACACAGCTACGGTATTCGCACTATTTCTTGAGCCATGAGCACGCCGATATGTAAAGGTGAAAATAGTGATACGTGGGATACTACTGTGCATCAACACCCCCCGTGCAGAGAAAGCCTATACATGGGGTGAAGCTGCAAATTGGACTATGCACTACGGAGTTAAGGGATGCCGTTATTAACAATAAACAACAAGACCCAAAGAACAAACCCTCCGGAGCACGGCCTAACCTTTCGTAGTACTTCCATCTTCACCTCAGGCGTGCGATCAGTGACAGACAAGAGCAAAAGTGACAATGCATATCGTTCGGCTCTACTTCACGTACAAAGGCCAACGGATGCAGTGAACATCAATTCGGTCGAATGCAGCAGTATCAAGTTTTGGGCTCTACCGGGCTTGCGGTCGAACATGCACAGTGGAAAAAGGACTTGGCCCGTTACCTAGGCCTGCGTTTCCACGCGGCATCAAAAGTTCTTGTGGACGCCCGGGAGCTTGCCAAAGCAAAGCTTTATGAATTAAAGCAAAATGCTGAATTCGGTTTCGATGTGAACCCGCAGGGAAGCTTTCAGAAATGCTTCAAAGATGCCTTAACTTCGAAAGGCAAGAGCTTCCGCTCTGCGGTTGATGCAACTACCAGCCGTGTGCTATGCAAGAAGGAATCATGGCAAGAATAAGATGAGTGCCAAATGCCTGCTTCAAATTATATGCATTCAAAGCGTTAATGAAACTTTTGTGAACTTAACTAGATTGGCAAAAATTCCGACTTAGCACACTTGTGTTGGAAATGATGGTGGAATCGCTCACCCACCTGTGCAAATGAAGCTAATCGCCTAACCGAATTAAATCCGAAAAGGCAACAGCTTCCGCTGTGCGACACCGTGCAATGAGAGGAAAGTGCCCCGCCTCAGATGAAGATAAATCCACCAGGCGAGAGGTTCCCCTCCGCGGTGCCTCAGCGATAGCCCGACCAACGTCGATCCCGATATTGATGGCCTTGGTTTCGACGGCGCCATTCTTCCCACTCGTGGTCAGTCCACTGATTGTAGTAGTCATTCCATTCCTGCTGACTGTAGCCATGAGTGGGCCCCTGATGAGAACCATAGCCAGGACGCGAGGACCTGGTGACATCTGGGTTCTGCTGCTTCGTTGCAGGCAGGGGTCGGCTTCCGCCTTCCGTGTCCTTGGCCTCCGTGAGGGGGCGCAAGATGTTGTCGACATAGCTGAGAATGTCGGCATACACATCCTGCTTGGACAACGCAAGGGATTGGAACGTCGTGTTGGCGACGCTCAAGACCTCGAAACGCTCGGCCACCGGAATCAAGGCATAGGCGGCCGCGAACTGGTTGGCTCTGTAACAGCGGTTCTTGTACCAGATGAGGACATGATCATCCACAATGATCGTCTTCATCTGTTCCTCCTCGTATGCGACCATGCACATACGCGCTTTGTACTGCCGAATCTTTCCAGTTCGGATCTCCTCTCGCGTGCGCTTGATGGAGGGAAGCACCACATTGCCCAAAACTGTAATCCAATGCATACACCGAGGTGTAAGGTCCTGGACCGCACAATTAAAGGCGTAGTGGGCGTCCGTTCCCAGACGCTGTAGCAAGGTCAGTCCAGCTTTTCTCGCCTGCTTCATGTATGAGCGGGCGTGATTTTTGAGGACTGCCGCAGCAGATCTGATCTGCTTGGCACCTTGGGTGGTGCCTGCTACGTCGTCGTCGCCCAGAAGGTCCAACGTCAGCTCGAAGCCCAGCTTCTCCGCCAACTCTTCCAAGCGAAACACCTGGCACGCACGGCGCATGTCGGACATAGTCGCAAGCGACAAGCCGCATGCAAGGCACACCAACATCCCCTCAGGAAAGATCTTCCTGCACCGGGGGCATGTCAATTCTGGCATAGCCAACATCGAGACATACCGCCAGCGCGTGAGGTTCCCCTCCGCGGAAGGGTCAAATGCCTCCTGATCGAAACGATCAGAACGGCGTTCCCGCGCGTTGTCAGGGGCGATGTCGAAGCCAGCAGCAGTTGCCGTCGGCTTGCGTGCCACACAAAGGAGATTGGTGAAGTTGAGCGGCCTTTGCTTGATCTTCGGGAGCAACTCATCGACGACAGGATATGGTGTCGGAACTTCCTTGTAAATGAGCGGACGTCGCAGAGTGATGACATCCTTCCACTGATCGTACTCATTCACGAACATGTTCTTCAACACCTCCAGGTCCGAAACCTCGTACCTTTCAAGTTCGTCGTAGTTGGGAGTGCCCTTCCGAGCCTCGTTCTCCTGCCAAGTGAGAGCGTTCTCGGAGGCCTTGTCCCGAAGGTACTTCTTCACGCCGTTGTAGCCATGGTTCGCCCAAAGGTATTGCGACTTCTCGCAATCGAATGCGTAGATGAGGCAATGATTGGGCACCCAGTCCTCAGTGATGAGTGCACCGGCCAAGGTTTCCACCAGGCGAAGACCATAGTGCAGAGCACAATCGGTGTCGATCGCGATGCACAGCGGTCTATTCGTTCTGACGCCTGGATCCTTGCCTTCGATTTCCCAAGGCGCATGGCGGGTCATATAAGCATGACCCTTGCATGAAGTGGCCCCTGGAAAAATCCCCGTGCAAATGATCTGCTGGAGGGAGTCCCATGAAGTGTAATGGTAAATAACCTTAAACTCTTCTGGGACCTCGGCTTCCGCCAGGTGAGGATAAATGGGAACCCTGGGGTAGAATCCCTTCTTCAAGTCCTCGACCGTGAACTGGTAGTCAAGCGAGATGATTTGCTTAACCAATGGAGCCGTCCCCACCTTGTCAATGAGCGACTGGTCATGGCCTTGGCAGGCCTTCACGTGGGTGATGCGGTATGGCATGTCCATGGTTGTCAGTTCCCCGACAATTCCAGCCTGAATGCGGCACATGAACCTGTCCTGAGTTCGAAGAATCAGGTACAAGTCCTGTCGCGAAAGCTGAGCACGATGCCGCTTTCGGAGGTACGTGTACATGGACTCAAAGTTCACGTACAGCTCCTCATCAAATTCAGGAGGAATATGGCGATGGTGCGCCTCGAGGAATTTGTGATCATACCCACGGAGAAGCCCGGTCACCCTCTTCGAAAATTTGAAATCATCATGACTGAGTCTTCCAAGGTCCCTCAGGCCTGGCAGGTCGGTACATCGGACGATGAATTCCCTGCGCTCGCCCGTTCCCGGGGAGTAGAAGTACCACTTGGGGTATCCCTGTGGTCGCAAGGGCGGTTCAGCCGGAGGCTGAGGTCCACCCGTTCCCGGGGGAGGAGCACTGGCCATAGGCGGCTCCTTCTTGGCCATCTTTGGGGCAGGCTCCGACGAAGACGCAGCAGCAGGCGCCGATGACTTCTGCGGAGGTGCCCTCGGTGAGGTGGTTGTCAACGTTGCAGGCGGTGCCTTAAAGGGCAAAGCTTTGGGCATAGGATGGTCCGCAGCTTCCGCTGGGAGTGCAGGTGGCTCCGGCTTGGGAGACGCAGTTGCACTCTTCGGAGTTGGTGGCGGACTGGGCTTTGGGGACGCCATGGGAGACGTCCCCGTCGCCGTTGAAACCTTTGGGAGCCGCGGAGCAGGCTTGGGCTGAATCATGGTTGCCTGATCCCTCATCTTTGGTTTGATGAACTGGCTGACAGTGTCCCCGATCACCTGTGCGATGCCGCTCGAAGATGATGCCGCTTCGGATGAGGAAGCCGCCTTCGACTTGGCTTTCGACATGATCTGGACAGTGGCAGCAGGGTCACCCGCGCGAAGTTTCTCCTCGGCGGTCTTGGGCTCCTCAAAGATCTCCCGTTCCATCTGACGATGCTTCTCCTCATCCGTCAGGTCAAAGCGACGAATGATGACTGTGCCATCTTCGGTCTGCTGCATGGATTCCTGCCGAAGTTCAAGCTTGGCAGGGTCACGTGTGACGTCGGTGTCCAAGATGTTCACTACGCCAGAACCATCCAATCTGAAGTCCACAGCATGGATCTTGTTCATCAGATGGGAGCGCAGCTTCCGCTGGCTAAACATTGATGCTGAGCCGCCGACGATGGGTTC